CTGATTAAATGCGAAAGATTACCAAGTACAATAGGTTTCCATCGCATTCGACTTCATGGCTCCTTTGTGATTCTTACGTACAAATTCCAAGTCAAATCGATAATTTAGTTCAGCCGTAGCCAAAGTTGAGTTTACAAGTGAGATCCAAGACATACTTTTGACATGTGTCAGTAAAAAATGAATTTGTTATATTACATTTTCTTTTTTAATAATAAAAAACTTACTAGTAAACGCAAACTAGTATTTAATTATCCACAGATAAATCTTCCAATAAAAGTCCGTCAACAATGAAGGTTCGAGTGAACAAAGCTGACACAATTACGATGAAAATTGAGTGTGTCGAAAAAGGCGACAAAGAGAAGTTTTCAATCAGGTTTCGGCGGGAATTTCGCAATTTGGCGCGTAATTAAGCGTCGACCTGCGGCCGCAACAAGCGACTTTTAGTGTTATAAACTTTGCTGGAAATCGGGCGTTTGTAGTTTGCATAAAGTAAACAACCACTTAACATGATAAACAAGTTCAATAAGTATAATTATTAAAAAAGTAAATTAGAAAAGTAAGGTGAATGCATACAGAACCTGATATAAACTATATAGTATTATGTTTTGTATATGTTTTGCTACTATATTTTTCGGGGTGTGTTTGTACGAATAATGTTAATTACAATCTCATACACAAACACCTTTGGACTTCAATGATAATAAGTCCTGTTGATAAATACACAACGAGAATGTATAAAGTCAAATGTTGTTTAGTTTTCTCTTAATGCTCAGAACAAGTTCTTTCTTATCAGTTTTCTTCTAAACAAACTAATTTCACAAAATTTAGGGTCCACAAACTTGGAAACCCCCCAAAGACCACGAAAGACAATTGATAAATTATGCATTGTTGACCGAAATACACAAGTTCAACAAAATCGTAAAAAATCAGTTTTTACTTAAGCACTTTTCACAAACCGCCTTGGAACTAATAAGTAAACACACAAATCAATTATTTTAAATTTGAATACGTTTCGACACATCTCGGGAAGGAGTAAAAGAAGTGATTTTTCTATAAAGCAGGGTTTAAGAGTTGGTAAATCGTCAGTCAACAGACAACTCGTCGAAGCTACGTTGACGACAGCTGTGACGTCGTGAATAATTGGCTTTTAAACTGTCCTTTAAAATTGAACGGATTCGTCGCGCCGCACCCGTGCCGAGGGTGACCGGAAACGCACGTGCTGTGACAGTTGTTTTGTTGAAATTAAAATGCTGTGTGAATTCGACAGTTGTAAATCCTGTAGTGCATGTACCGCGCTTTAGGTTTTAATTGACTATTCATCTAATAAAAAAAAGTGGCCTATTGTTGTCTATACTTCATTTGTCTGTAGCGTATCTCGGATCTAAATGTGCCTTTTGATTTTGATATTTTTGCGTACTCCCATTTTGTAGCCAGTTTTTAAATATTGCGTTCTCTACACATAAGGTTGAATTAGTGTTGCTTCTACCAAAAGTAAAAAAAAACTTTAAGAAAATTACTCATTTTCCCGAGAGTGGGATCTATTTTCTACTTTTGTCGGAAAATCGTTGTGCGATTTTTTTATTTCATGCTAGCTGCACTTTCCTTTCAACAAAACGTGTTAAAAGGGTTAAGGTTATGGTCCATTGTATTTAAACTTCTGAATATATCATTCATGGGGGGTTTTCAGTTCAGATTTTTGTGAGGCTGCAGTTATTGACTGAAACCTACGATACAACAGTACGCGGCCAATAAACAATGAAACATTTGAAAAAAGCAGAACAAATGTTGCAGTTTGGTCTTTTAATTTAAAATACGGTATCCTATCGTGTAGCACACATCTACCATAGTCCTGATGTTCTACCACAAAGGGAATAATTCAATTATTGTAATTTTGGTACAAAGCATTTAAAATAAACTGTGAAATATTACATGCGCCTTTTCCATTCTCTCAATTTTATTTGTAATCTTGTATATTGATTATAGTTAACCAAATAAAAAGCACTCCATATTTAAATACACATTTTCTTTCAGTATGAACTGAATCTGAGATCCTGTAAACACTTAGGCGTGACATAGACTATGCACTAACTGAGGTGAAAAGCTTTACTTAGCGCGGGAAAGTAATACAAATGTATCGTGAAGTAATTGTGTAATCGCATACCCATAACATAATACAGAAATCTGATAATTTTTTACTTATGTAGTTTTTGTACAGTATTAGATCTTGATTATTCTCCTGAAAGATCCAAAACTAATAAGTTTTCTTGGAAAAATCAAACAATTCAATAATTTTATTTCTTAAAGTTCCTTCGGGGGTTTGAAGACATCCAAAGTCCCCAGAAAAATGTTTTTTGTTAAGCTTGTACAAAATACAATGCGGATGAAACCACAAGCAGACTCGCGTATGAGGTGAGGTGTTGAGACGTAACACATATCTGTGGTCTCGCTCTGTGGTTGGCGACTTGGTGAACGACATTCACAATTGTAGTAGGGACATTTGACTTGATCACCAATGGTAGTTACTCCTACCTACTCCAAATCTGTATGTATAACGAAAAAAATAGTAAATTCAAGAGACCGCGTACTTGTCCCATTGATATCAACTGTAACCACAGAAAACATGTTTTCTGTGCTGTAACACTTAAAATAAAATAAAAAATAAAACCAAATTAAGACGCTGTAAGTGACTGCGGGGTTCTTATGTTTAAATTGACTTTGTTGAAATATTTGCCAATGCCTCACCTACGCTAATTTCGCCCAGTATCCGAATAACAGTGACACATAAAATCATAAAATTTTACTCTTCTGTGCTAACTTTTCCTAAAGTTGAAATTTTAAGCTCTTTCGGTGATGCTATGCGAATTAAGAAGGATAACAGTATTTTAAGTTAAATTTGGTTTTATTTAGAGTCTACATAAGAAGTAGGCATTACAGCTAAATGGAATAGCTGTAGACATTATTTTAAAATTTAAATTATAACATTGAATGAGACACTCACGGAGTGTACTGATGCAAAATTCGATTTATTTTGGTTTTAAGGTATTAAAGTTATTTGAATTATTTTAGCTAACCATAAGGGTACCTTTGATTTGTCTTGGTTAATCAGCAATTGATATCAATGCAGGTTACTATCCCGGGTATACTAGAAACGTTGCAATTAAGAGTAGTGCATCTTAATTCTACAACTGACCACAGGTTTAACATGTAAATGTGTCGTCGAAAATATCACTCTCAAGTTATTTGCCAATTTTAAAATGTTCTACTTCATAGGGCTGCTTTGTTGAATGATTGGAATGCCACCCAGTGTGAGGTTTGTTTGACACGACAGTTGCTGATCAAAGGCGAAAGTGGGACTCAATTTCGACCAACAAGTGTTCGCGGTGGTCCTACAACCGAGGCAGTGGCGAGGTGTTAGGTTTGGCCGCTAAGTTTAGCCTCGTCATTTGTCGACGTCGTTAGGATTGTTGAAGTTGTGTGATGGATGCTAGTTGGAGGGGTTTTTGTAATAAATCGATATAAAAAAAATTAAAAATAGTTTGTATTTGATTTCCACATTTAGTATGTTTTGTAGTTATTTAAAATAGTTTTGTCATTTCTTTATTTGCAGTTTCTTGTATGGTAAACTTTTAAAGTACTGTATCGAAATATATATTTAAATTTAAGATTAAGACTAATTTAATCTCTTCAGAGAGATTAATTTTGATAATAATGTGTATTATTTGGTAAAGTTGTAATGTACTATAAAATTGCTCGTCATTTGAAGGTACACATTTTGTTAATCAAATTTAACAAACCTATTAAGATTAATAATTTCCACAAACACGATAAAACACAATTATAGTATTTTGACCTTGAATTATGTTTCGTTTGTTAGCATTAGAAAATATTAGCCATATTCTTGTAATATAGCACATTTTTAAGGAAAGTAAGCAAACAAAAATATTTCTAAAAGTTTAATAACAATTAAAACCTATATTTACACTTGTACTGTAATCTCACTAGATGGTAAATACATATCAAAGATGATAGTGGTGATTGATTTTGATTAGTCGCTCCAATCATCATCAGTCCCAATAGGTGATGATGATTGGAGTGTCGAATTGAAGCCAATCACCATTTACCATCTTTTATATACATTTACTGTCTTGTGGGTTAACAGTATGGGTGTATATTTTTATCAGATGTATTTTTATTTACTTTCTGTAAATGTAATGACACATACGATGATGCTGATCAAGAAAGTATTTAGCACAATTTGTAACTATCAGCAGTAGGACTGTGTTTCATCCCTTTTAGCAGCAGAGTCTATGTTTCTTAATTCAAAAAGAAAATATTTAATCTATACTTTAATACGAGTTTGCGCACAATGATTTCAAAAACGGCTCCTATGATTCCCTCTAAATTGTTAGGAATATTTTAGTTTCAGCCAAAAAATATTATATCCATGCTAGCCACTCTTCTGGAAAAATTTGTTTTTCGTTAAAAACTTTAAATTAAATTTAAATATATTTAACATTGGTCTTATGGAAAGATAGGTAGCCATGACAGTTTTACGAAAATGTAAATAAATGAATAAAACATATGCTTGTAAACAAACCATCTACAGTACATTGGCCAATTTACTAAATAATACAGTACAAAGGAAAAGGACTTCTATGAATGCTATTGAGCATTGATTATACATGTGGGTTGTATGATGTATTACTAACCAAAGAGATAAGAGTTTTTATAGTGAATATAGTTTGCTCGTCCACATGAAAAAGTTTGCTAGGTAAATAAGGAATGAGTGAATGTGTACCGTAAACTTAACTTAATTGACCTTAGCAAAACCGATAATATTTGTAGGCTTGTAGGTTTTAATTTTTTTACCTCTTGAACAGATCAAACACCTCCAGAACGGTCCATTGGTACTCAATATTAAAGTAATTAATTGAAATAAATAATTTCAATTTATCCCTGGTTAATTATTCCTATAAGATGTTATTATGTTGCAGGGATACACAGCTTGTCATATCGCCATGCAGTACGGCCACGAGGATGTGTTTAATCTTCTAAAGGACGTATATGGTGGGTGATTAACATAACTTCTAAATGAAAATCTTACATGTTGTTTTATTTACAGTATATTATTAATATAGATTTCTACTATTAGGTTAAATGTATAAACACTTTTACACTTTACTTTAAGACGGTGAATGTATGCACCAGATGGTAAATGGTGATCAATTTTCATTGGTCACTTACAACCCAAAAGGTGGATAGCTCAATGAGTAGGTCCCTGTTTGGATTATTTAAGATGTGTTGAATTTTTAATCTTTAAATAAACAGGCAGCGAGCTGGTCTAGAGTAGAGCGCGGCACTTATGCCGCAGATTCAGGTCCCACCTAATCACTAATGGATTTTATCTTAGTGATAATGCGGCAACCCCTAGGTCTAGCATAAAGTCCTAGGACAAAAAATACTTATATAAATTACATTTGATAAATTCTTGTTCTGCAGGCGCAAACCCAGTGCTGCGGGACTACAGCGGTCGCAAGCCACACCAGTACCTGACCAACAAAGACACGAGTGTGTCCGCGGATACCTTCCGAAGTGAGTATAGCTCTGGCCCGCTTGACGGATGGTTCAAGGAAAACTACGGCACACTGAGCCGAGAGAGAGTCGTTCCCAGGATAGAGATCACTGGGCCGGACACGTTCCCGAAACGGAAAAAGGCCCAGAAAAGACGAGAGAGAAAAACTGCTCTGGGACTGATGTTCAGACCAGTTACCCCTGTGTAGCATGTGGTGGTGCTTAGCATGTGATAGCATGTGTCTAGTGCTGTGGTTCTTGAGAGATCGTTTAAGTAACTTAATTGTGATTTATATAGTAAAAGGATATTAGGCTTAGCTAGCTTATCATAGAAAAAAAACTAGGAACATAGAACACAAAAAAAAAAACACACCATGTTGTGTCCCCAACAATCTACGATTTACAAAGTCACCCAGGAGATAAAATATTGTGTTAGCCTTTTATATTCCTATATATTTTTATTTTCCACTTGATTTTTGTCATACACAACCTTTCAATAAAATAGGTAGGTAGTTAATATTTTTCACAATAATAAAAGAGCAATATTTACCGTATGAAGGAAAGTTACTTGATGTAAGTTATTGCCTCGCTCTTACAATAAGTAATTCCAGAATGACTGAACTTTTTGCTGAAAATGTTAATGAATTTGTAAATTGAATTGAAGTGTAGTATACAAAATCATAGATTGATTACCACAGCTCTAGACAAAATAGATATGGAAATGCATGTTTAAGCATCTAGTTGCATGAAAGCTTTGCATTTTGTTATTTAGATTTTAAGTATAGCTTATAGATGTTGTAATTGAGCATAATATTATTTATATCTTGTACATCTCTTCTATTATTTTTCTGGTTTTAACCATAATGTAGTGTTTTGAGCAATAAATAACCGTTTAAATAGATGCATTTAGTTTTTCTCCGATACCTATTTTCCTTAAACGGCATTCTATTTTTAATATTAATAACTTATAAAAAATAAAAATAAAACTTTCTTAATGCTACCACAATATAATATAATTAAATTTAAGATAGAGCATTTAATATATTCTGTATATTCAAAGAGAAGCATTTTTAAATTTAATATTTTACCATTTCAATAGTTCTGTTGAGTTATTTTATGTTTTCTTGAATTGTCAAAATAATTTCAACCCTTATTTCAACTAAATCCGTATTATGTATTTATTTATAAATTTTAAACATCTTAACTAATGTTTCTCTTTTAAACGGAGCAAAATAAAATTTCTTGATTTTTTTAAAGTGTGTAAAATATAGGATGTCTTTCAACATCCATACTTCATTTAATACAGTCACACTAATACTTTTGGTAATAAATAAATTATGAAAAATTATAAATAATGAGCAATAAAAACTATTTTTGCATGTCTTAAAATAATTTCCTCTTTGCATATCTTTCATACTAATCTACTTTGAAAAACATAAGCTATGTTTGTTTACAAGATTGATAGCTTTTTATAGCCTTTAAAGTTTTAAACCCTGTTGAAATGTTCATGTAAAGAATCATAGTGACCATTTAGGGATGATTTTTTTAACATGCTATGTTAAAATTTTGTATTTTGTAGTTTTCCTAAATATAATTGTTAGCTTTATTTATTTCCACCATTAAGTTTACATTTGTGTGTTTAATTAATAATGATTATCAAAAACAATCTAACCATCTATCTAAAGATAAATTTCTTTGATCGCACATTCTTATGGTACAGTAATATTTAATGGTGTTAATTATTGCTATACATTTAATTTAACCCAGTTTTTCATTTTATAGGAATTTTAGAAGGTGGCTCACTGCGGCAAGTATATTTGGTGTGGTTTGATCGGTTTTCCCCTTAACAAGTATTTGGCCTCTGTAAAAAGCCTACGGCCAAACTTGAGTTTGTGCTAACAAAAACCTCATGCAGTACAGAGTTTGACTCCTAGACAAAATGTTGTTTTTATAATGTCTTTACAATGTACATACTTAGAGCAATTAATTAATATTTAATAACATAGCTACGCTAGTTACATATGCTGAACTAACCGTGTCAAATACAAAATGGAAATCCAAGGGAAAGTTCCGTCACAGGATGCAGTTTTCCCACAGAACATGATAATTATTTACTGCTTTTTAATGATCCCTCGAGATAGGATCGTTCCTGTTTTTGCAACTCGCAAATAGCTTAATTAATTTAATGATTTACGTCACTGTTTATTTATAGCTTAATTTTGCATGCTTTGAGTTCTATTGGATATGAGAACTTTTACTTGATGGTGTAGGTGTGAGTTAAGAGTGATAGTTCTGTGTATTCATTTCCACTAGTGTGATTATTTCCTGGATGTTAGTGTTTTATAGAAACCCCTACAGTGAGATCAGCTGATTTAGCAAGCAGGAATTAATAAAGCGTAAATGAGCTATTTTGAGTACTATTTAAAGATGTGGCAATGTGATCATTCCTGTGCAGTGGTAGGAAAAAATATCTTCTGTAAAGATTCCAAATGATAAGATTTTCTATGTATCTGTTGTCTTCTTTTGAGAATTCTTTTGAAAAATAACTCCTATTGTAATTTGTAAAAAATTTCCCAGCTGTAAACAGGCACACTGTTAAACTTGGAGAAGGGCCAGGGTGGTTTGGGGGTACAAAATAAACTTAGTAAAAAGGGGGAGGTGCACCGCCAGAAAAATGTTTAAAACTTAGATACAAGATGGCTAATTTTACACTTTTTTGAACCTAAATCTGCCAATTAATTTAATTTCATGTTTTAACTGTACAATCTGAAAAATGTGGTTAACATTGGGTATCATTGGGCGGGTGGAGAGGCCCCATAGCCTATATTGATGGCCGACCATGCTGGGAAAAGTCATTCCTTTACAACATAGACTAACTAACTAACAAATAAATACACCATAACATTTTCAAACAACAATATATTATATCAATATAATCTACATATTATCAATTTCAACTTAGCCTGCATGAGTATGTTGCTTGCAAAAGAAAATGCACTTTAGATTACATTATTTCTTGATTGATTATATTACTTATAGGATAGTGTTATGCTTTGTACTGGAACATATTACTGGCATTCATAGATGTTGAACTGCAATTGACATCATCAATGGATTGATGTTATAAAAGGATGTCTTAGGTGATATTTTATAGATTAAATTTGAGCAAATTTTATAATATTGACTCTAGAAAACCCTTTAACGAAAAGATCAATAATTATTTTTTTTTTTAAACATGACATGTTTTTTAATGAATTGTATGTAATTGGATGGACTACTTAAAATATATTCAAGGTAAGTTAGTATACATCTTTACGCATCAAATAAATATCCTGGAAAAGTCTTGCTAACAATCAGGAATCATATTTGTATTCCTAATCAATGCGGATGACTCATTGATTTACCAGAAAATTGCTACATATTTAATTTTTAAATATAAATTTAAAATTTAAATTAAATTTTTAAAGAGTCAATCTGCTGGGTACCATTTTTCTCTGTATTTGTAATTTTTCTCATCTAAATAATTGTTTTGTGATCAAATAGCAGACAGCCTTGCATAGTGAAAAGTTTTCAAAAAGCTAGGGTATTCTCAAAAATCAGTTACGAAAAATAATTTTTATGGTCTTTAAGGCTGATGTTTAGTTTAATTCTGAACAAGACAATTTATAGTAAGTTTTTTTTTTTAAGAATCTTTATAGTTTACGCTAGTAATGTGATTAAAAATCATTAACATTACCATTTAAGACTTTACATTACACTGTGAAACAAAATACCAAAAGATATTTTGCTAAGTAATATGTTGTTATGTGTACACTTTCTTTGTTTTAATTTTAAAATATCTTTCTGTTACAGAGATCAAAGCAAGGAAAAAGCATGCAGGTTAGTATTCATCAAAAATACCACAATACACTTGTAAATCTTGAAATATATTTATGTTACTGTAACAAAGTACGGTTATGTTTGTGAAAGTCAGTGGCAATGGCTATTTTTCAAAAGCATTTAAATCTCTAAGATAAAATTAATTTTGCATTACTTTTAAAAACACACTCCTTTATGGGTTTGTAATTTTTGGAATGAGTTGCGAGCTTTTAATTAAATTTTACGTGTCTAAAGGAAGCAATTTTTGTATCCTAAAGCATATATAACTCAACCTCATCATCAGGTTGATGATGAGGTTGAGTTATATATGCTTTGAGAAAGTAAATAACCATCAACTAATTTTTGAACTTCTAATGCGGAAAAACGTTATTACACGTTAACGTTAACGTTATTACGTTATGTTATTTACGTTATTGTTTAAATTGCAACTCTTTGTCTTGGTACAGAAAAGGACTCTGGATTCTTGAGGATTGGCTCTCTGAATGTAAGAGTGAAGAAGACAACTGAAGCCTTCAGTCACTTCCTGGGCGTAGGAACCATCGACAAGCTGCACAAGAGTTGGGGCTCGGCCGATAACCTCCCTCAGGTAAGCGATGGCCGTACTCGTTTAGTATCAAAATTTAATTCAGATCAAAATGTAGTTTTGTTAAAAGAAAGTCATAGGTATGGATTAGGAAGGCTAGGATCGTGGATTTTTGAATAAAGGAATAGCATCCAGCTTACCTCAGAAAATATGGAACATAATTTCTATTACCTAATACTGTGTAAAAAAATAACTAACATCAAACTAGGATGCACTATCTCTTATTGGTTAATATAACCAAACCATGAACGTAATTTTTCAAATATGAGGAATTGAGATGTTCTAAAGAATATTTAATTGAATATAAAACTTATTATGTAAACGATAATTTTTACATCATTACATTGCTTTACATAATAATTTGCTACACTTGTTTTTCCTTCATCCCTTACACTAGCACTAAACTTACTACTTGTTCATTTTCATACCAACAGATGAGGGGCTAGACTCTTGGATGATGTAAGTAGGGTTTGAAGCATGCTTGTATTTTGCTTGTATAGTTAGTGAAGTGTGCCTAATAAGTCTCATTGTAACTGAGCATGAGTTTGAACAATTATGAAACGTTTTGACAACTTTTCACAATGTTGTTTGAGTAGTTCATTGTAAAATATGAGGGCCATCCCTACCTAACCATCAGATTTTATTTATTTATCAGCAGGGTTATTTATTTAGGTGTAAGAGACTTTTCACTTAGGCACCGCTTGGGACCGTGCTGTCGTCGTCATCTTAGTATTAGAGCGCTTCTCCACTCAGCACACATCCTTAAAATGAGTGTTAATAAGAGCTGTCATTGCACTGTCCAGGCTCTAAGATCAGATTTTTGTTTGCAAAAAATAACATGCTAATTTAAATTTATTTGGGATTTTTACATCAAAGGAGTAATGAGTCAAGGCTGAGAGAGCAATCATGCATTGAGTTGAAAAATGGATTAAAACTTTTCCACTTTTGTTGTAGTCTTCCAGGATTGTCAGCTCTGCAGAAAGACTCTGTTTTGTTTTTTTTTTTTTTTTTTTGTGATCATGTATTATGATCTTTTGAACCCACTGGGCAAAAAACTTGTAGTTTTTTACACAACTATTTACCAAACTCTGTTTAATTCGGAGAAAATGTTCTATGAGTTCCAGAATTATTAAAAGGTGATTTTCACAAATTTTTGTTGACTTTCCCTACAACAGTCACTAGATTTTCCTATCACTGCTGATCGTTAATATTTGTTCGGATATTTTTTTAGTTTGTGCACCATTCTAAAAATCAACCATTCTAAATTTAAAATGTTAATTTTGCTGTGTTGCTGGGGTGTTTTGTAGCTTTCACTCATCAATCCCTTGCCGTAAACATCACGAATCTGGTGATAAATTTCAATTTGTTTTATTGTGAACAAAAAACTGATCACAGAGCACAGTTCACAACTGGCAGGATTTGCAATGGCAGAGCTAATTTCGTACAACAGATATGATGTGCACACTCCTGTAGCTGTATGTGCAATGTGTGTAGGAACGCTCTGATGCTAAGATGGTATAGAAACACCACCTCAAGCGGCACCGATTTGAAATGTCTGTTACTTTCCAGAGAGCTCTTGTTGTTGGCTTCATCCGAGTTGTTATTTATAATTTCATAGAGAAGAGGTGACTTCTGAGTGTTTGTTCTGGGTAACTACAAAAATGAAATGAAATATGTACCGGTAGCTGAAGTTTTACACAGGTAGATCATGAATCGGCTGTCACCAGTAACGGATTTACCATGAGGCTGCGGCCTTGGGCTGCAAGCAAAAGAGGGCCAAAAGGATTGTCATAAAAAATTTTCAGATTAACAAATTTTTTTAAACTATCAATTTGCCGCAATCGGATGTGGCGATAATGATGTCCCCGTGGGAGATGTTCACTATTTCGCCACGGTCTTTGATGAATGCTTTCACTGGAGTTAGGGGAGGTGTTTCTGACCAAAACAGTCCAATAAAAAATTTGCTACCAGAAGATGTTTATTATCCAGAGAAGCAGTCTGGTATCACAAATCAAATACTGTTTAGGGATTTTTTTATCACCTCACAGTAGACCTCATGTATCCTTATATTGCCTGTTCTGTGTGATTTTGACTTATGAGCTGTTTCTATTGTCTACGTAGTTTTGGCTGTTTTTCTAAACATTATTTTTGATGATATAGTACTACTTTCTTTGTTTAGTAATTTGTAACTACAAATTTCAAAGGGGTTCAGAGCATTAATGTAGGTACAATAGGCCTAAAATGTGTCAATTAAAGTTGCTCAATAGGTACCACAACTTAACCAAAGATTTTGTCTAAAAACAACTATTAGCTTGTGCTTTAGGCATTTCTTGCAATTGAGTCTATTCATGTTGACTAGTATCATTGACTATATATACCTACTAGGTATATGTACTAGTTATATATACTAGGTATATATGCTAGGTATATATACTAGGTATATATAGTCAATGCTAGTATCACTGGCCATCAACAAGGTCAACCGATGTGAAATTGATCCAAGTTGTTGTGCAAAAGAAGAAAACCAGGAAAGTTATCACCCAACCCAATCTAAAAGCATAATTTGCTATCTGAGGGTTAGCATTAATTTAATTTTACAGAAGAACATCCTGTGAAAAAATCAAATTTTTATCCCATGTCTCATCAGAGATATTAAGCTCCAAACTTTGCAATAATTGAAAAATCTCTATTTTCAAAAAATTTTCAAATTTAAAGGACACATATATTAGTGTTATAACTCTAGCTACATACATTACACTAGTATATGTAATTGTATAAAAAGAATTAACAGTGATTTACAAATCCTTCATGGGAAAAATAGGCTTCAAAAAGTGAAATTTATTTGTTTGTCTTGCTCGTTTTTAAACATTTTTTTCACCCATAGACCAATATGGGTAGGCCTACAAATTAGGCTGATTATGATAATAATCAAAATTAAAGATGGGAAAATGTTGAAGAAAGTGAATTTGATAGCATTTTTGTAACATAAGACAAAAATGACCGCTACAAAAAATGGGAAGGGATACAAATTTAATAAAATAATTTTTCAGCTTCCAAAACTTGAGGGAACAGTAAATAAAAAAAATTAAAAATGGTCAAGCAACTCCTATTGGAACACTTGATGATATGGTGGTGATTCAAAGCATTCATTGAAAAAATTAAACAAACACATTAACCTGTAGTTCTAATTTTGACCATGAACTGCAATGGTGGTCACACATGCCTAAGAAATTATAGTACCTGCCTGGTTACCGAAACAAATTATGTTAATAATCGATGTTTGACGCATTGCAGGGGGACACCAGGAAGATGCCGCCACCAAAGCACGCTCCAATCAAAAAGCGCAAGTCCAAACGAGCCATGGACTTTGTCCCACCGTCACGGCCAGAGAGTGTTATCAGTACCAAGTCTATGGGGGGTGGGGGAGCGGACAGCGACTCTGATACGGCGGCAGGGTTCGGAACTAACTGGCAAGGGACAGTGTAGTGACCAAATGACCAATTACATTTCATGTACTGTAAAAATTATACTGCAAAGTGTTATGCTGTAAGCCAAAAGTGTGAAACTAAAAACTGTGAGAAAACTAACCCAAAGTAACATTCAGCCTATCCATAATTCAACAAATTATTTTATCCATGATGAATATGAGATTTCATGCCTTATAGCTTTGATTACCGCTACTGATCAAATATAACATGCCATCCCCATGTTAAGGTTGTCACCGGTTTTAGACTCGAATGGACATAGTTGAATAGAGCCACTGACATAGTACGCTGTTGTAAGTTATTAATAGTTGGTGTAGAGTACACTTTCAACCAAGTAAAACAGAAAGCTATCATTTTGCCACATTAAAATGTCTCATTAACAAAAGCTATAGAGAAAATAGAATACCAGTTGCTCACTCTGCATGTGTCCCATTCAACTATGTTCTTAAATAAAAAATATTCTACAGCTGGTCCATATGGGTTGTTTGCAAAATATGCATTGATATCTTATATACTAAAAAACTTTTGCAAATCTTATGACAGCTAGCCTGATCATGCTACTAGACCGAATTACACGCGGTTGGTACCAAATGAAAGATATTTACCTGTAGATGTGCAGAATCCCTTTATCAATTAAAATAGGCTAAAAAATAGGCACAAAAAGTGAATTGGAAATTTAAAAAAAATTAACATGGGTCATATGGGTTGCCATGTTGGTGACGAAATAACAACAAAATATAAACAGGAAATCAAAACAAACAGAAGAAATTCCAACCACATGTTTTATTTACAGCGTGGGGTGAAAATAGAGAAGTTTGCACAATACATACTTTTGGGCGAGTTTCGACCAAGGGGTGAGCTCTCGTTGATACTATTTTAGTAATCACAACTCAACAATTTTAATGTGAAAATGTGGTATAGCTAACATTGTTTTGTACTTTAGAAATTAGCTTTTTGCTTCTTCCACAGAAAATGTTATTAGTATGACTAAAATGTGTTTGGTCTTTGGTTCTTAAAATCGGTGTTTTGAACGTATAATTTAATTAACAGTGTGAGTCTAGTTGGGGCTTGTACTGCATACCACAATATTTTAACGTACTCTTGACAGAGTTAACTTGAAAGCTATCCAGTGAACAAATTAAGCTCAAGGTTCCTATTACAATACAGTTTTTCAGCTGTTAGTAACATATTTTACTCAAGCTAGAGGTAGGCTACAGAGTAGTTGGGCCGTTTTATATATTTAGGAAAATACAATGCAATTGGCAATTTAGAGGATTTTATACCTAGTCATCAAGATAAAACAAACACTTTGAAAGAATGTTGAATGTAGGCTATCTTAGACAACGAATGTAGTGTAAACTTTTCTTACAATAATCCAAATTACATTTAATCACAAACTCATAATAGGCATATACTATGCTTTGTATTGAATGTTTTTCATACCAATGTTGTTTTGATATTGTATAAAATGTTACTTATTTGACCTGTACTTTCATGTTCTATTTTGTACACTGTAATTAATCATGGAAGACTTAAGTATAAATGTTTTTATCAATGTTACATGTTTTATATATGTGAAGTTGTTAGGTAGTTTTATTTATTAGTAAATAATTTAAGAACAGATTTTATACATGTTGTATAGTAGTTACTGTACCTCTCTAAAGTTCAACGGGTGATTTGTATTTGTAATTGTTGACTTTAAAACCTTTTGTTGTAATATTCTTGGTAGGTGATGAATTGTTAGCGGTATTTTGTAAAGGAAATCATTGTTGACAAAAAATTCCTTCTGGATTTACAGTAAAATTCAATTTTATGTTAGGGTCGTCCAGAAATTAACAAAAGTGAATGGAAATGTCATCAACTAGGCATGAGATATATCTATAGTATTAGTAGGAGCCTTTACGTGATTTCCTGATTTTGGATGAATAAAGTGACCAATTATTAACTGATTGGCAGCATCAAAACCCATGATGATTACTGTTCGTGGAAGAGTTTCTAGTTTACTTTTAGCACCATAGGAAAAAGTTTAAACAGAAAATTTGTGGTCTTACAGCATGAAACGGTTTAAAACCAAGGTTAGGCAGCTGATTTATATCAAGAGGGGTTATCAATAACAGCCTTCTATGAGAAATTCAAATTTTAATCATTCAATTCAATCACCTATAGCGTAGCCCCTGATCACCATTTAAATTACATATGTTCAGGGACACTCCCATTGCTAAGAAGGGTATTTTTTTAAAGACAAAGAATTACACTTTACCAGGTATATAACTAAACTTGTATTATTGATTTTCAATTTTAAAAACATCCTGAAAAATGCTCAAACATCTTTTTACATCCAATAAGCATTTCAGCCCAAATCGTATAGGGATTTATGGGGTACAAATAATACTCAAACTACAGTAATTTATTTTAAATTATCTAAATAATGCAATTTTAACATTGTTATTATTAAGTGACTATTATGATTAATTTAAATTTATTACCATGAAATATTCATGCTTTGAACTGTTATGTGTAATTTATGTATATGTTGTATCTTTTATGAATATATTATATGTTAACTGAACAAACATAGTCATTGTGATTGCTTGTAAGATAGTTGACATTGTGCACACCAGTATTAGTTAGTACTGAAGATCAATTATGTAGTTATGCCGAACTCACTATGCAAATAAATTATTTTAAACAGCAGTGGAAGAACATCTCAATATTGCCTTAACTTATTTTCAACCAATAAAATAAATAATATTTATCTCTGTGATATACTGATAAGCAGGCCGCTCCTTAAAGTATTATTGTTTCTCCACTTATTTAACTTGTATTTCTCTTTTAAAACAATTAAACCATTACACTGCCAAGTTTTTAAAAACAAAAAGAATCATGATATTTTGGAGGATTGAGATTGAGTTTTTAACTTTTACAGTGACATTGAATAAGGTGATACAAGAGAATTGAGAATGTGAGGCAAACCATTTTTTTTGCTGCAAGGATAATTTTTAACTAAAAGTTATTGATTCACAACAAGTTTTAAGTTCTTAAGGGAGGTTTTAGGGATGGACGGATACCAAAATTTAAGTTAAAAAAATATATCTTCAGATTAAACTCAATCTGTAATTTCCTTGGAACTGGATTTGTTCCAACTGCCACAGATTTGAGCACATAGCAAGTGACAAGATGACTCTCTGCGATCGTAGGGAATATTCACGATGGCTTCACAAAACCCAGGATCGTCTTGGGGATACGTTATCCCCCTGAGATCGTGGGTGATTTTGACATTTTATCAACCCATTATTGGTGTACATTTGGTTTCTCCAAAATAATCCTGTCCTGTTCTCATTCCAAAGTCAAGAAATACAAATCAAATCCTGCCCAAAAGTAAATTAAAAGTATAATTCTGTCCGTCAATACAGGGTGCTCAATACCGACTCTTCGGATGAAGTGCTTTATGGTCTTGGCCTGCCCCTGCTAGATAAGATAAAACGTTCAATGTGGTCCAAAATTGGTTATATCACTCGTATTGTTAAAATATGAAAACTAAAATTAACTTCCCAAATGTCGTTTTGAATGATGATCTGGTATTATTTCGTCACAATTTTCAATTTTGACGAGATATATGACTTTATAATTCATGACAGGAATACTCATGCGCCGCACCCGTCCGGCTGCCATGTAGAACCAACGCACGTGACACCAAAAGTAATCCTTAGTTTATGTTGTTAACGGTTGTTGTCTGTATCTCCTAGTTCATCTTCAGTGAGAAAGTCATCAATCTGTAAAGAATATTTATTGCACACCACTTGCATCATATAACACACTAAAACAAAAAAAAAAACAAAGAGATAAATAGCAAAAACTGTGCGCGACCGGAACGACGCCGCCCGAGGAAACTAAAAGGACTACTTCATATAGCGCAACGAAAAACAACATCCTCCGTCGACGGCTTCAGCTCATATAGAGGCAATAATTTTGTAGTGGTGCTTTGACAAGTATACTCGTCGCGCGCCGCCATTGACTATATAACACTACTAGATTGAAAGCCCCATGCATTTGGTTGTGAACAAGCAATCAGCACACTCTGGCGGGAAGGGGCGATCATAGCGCTGACGTCACTGACCAGTAGGTGCTGCCACGATGTGGCGGGCAATGAAAACATAGTGCTGTCTGCTGTTACGACGACGCAATGTACAGACAGCCGACAGCTATAAGCATTGACTATATAACACTAGTAGTGTTATATAGTCAATGCTATAAGCCATGCTAACCGCGCCCACGTGACTTGCCGGAACTGCACATCCGCTCCCCGCTCGCCTCGAATTCGTGTTGTTAGAAGTGAAGCGCGAAGAATCATTAATTTAACTGCTTCGCTAAGAATCTGAGATATTAGACAGGGACTCGTATCCTAATATTTATCGTGATATTTTAGTGGTTAGTGAATTTGATTGATAAAAAAGATGTCCTGTAGATATGTATAAATTTCCTATCTAATCAAATTTAAAACGCCGATGAGAATAACTTAAATACAAATTTGCGTAATCAAACGCGTCATGTTGTAAATGTTTTGTTGTAAGAATTTATAATCAAATATTTAATTGGAATTGAGAAAGTGTGATATTTTATCAATAAATAAATAAATTGATTTATCCACAATTTCCACATATCACAACTAAATTTTAATCTATTAAGTATAGTAGAATACATCCACCTAACACTTTGAAACTAGTGAACGAGCTTGAAATAACGACCACACAAAACGCCCATAGCAAATAAAAACTGCAAAATGTGCTCAGAGAAAAAGAGAAAGTGAAATGACAGAACATGGGGGGGTGGCAGAGCGTTCGTTGAGTTCGGGTTAGGGCATTGCTTTCACACAATACCCGACAACCCCTAGGCTACACTATGATTTACAACATCTGTCTGCTATAGGGAAACAGGCACCAGTTGATGTGTCAGTAATATGAGACATTGCTGCTGTAAAACGGGGTTAAATATTTGATAGGCCTATGGTAAGCCTCAGTTTTAATTTAGAAGTGTGATATAACTGTTACACGTCCTTTAGTTCCGTTATCAGCCAATTTTATATTTATAATAAACTAGCTGTAACCCGCGGGCTTTGCCCCGTTTAACTTCTTAATTTTCAAGATTATCTCGTTTTTGGTTGAAGTTTGTTCGCTACGCTCACTCACCTTTGGGTTGGAGCTCGTTCGCTACGCTCACTCACCTTTAGGTTGGAGCTCGTTCGCTGCGCTCACTTGCCTTCAGGTTAGCTCGTTCGCTACGCTAACTCGCCTCCAGGTTGAAGTTCGTTCGCTACGCTCACTCACCTTTTGGTAGCAAATTAGCTTTTGTCATAAATGTAAAAGAAATAATAGTGCTGCACCCTGTTGGTAATCCTTGTAACTTTAATGCTATTGAACATCATAGAACAGAACCAAGTTGTTTAATTGAAACAGCTGTTAAGATTCAATAATTCCATTTCTCATAAGGTTAACATGGGAAACTCCAGAGCCACTGGGGCGGAGCCCGAAAGGATTTTTGAAATAAGAATATGCCTATATGTTAATCGGGAATGTGAGCTATCATCATGCCAAATTTCAGCCCAATCCGACCAGTATTTTTCGCGTTCACTTGTCACAAACATACATCCATACATCCATCCATGCATCCATACATCCAAACTTTCTCATTTATAATATTAGTAGGACTATCGCCATAGGAGCTCAGCCTGTGATCGATTTACTTTTTCGTTTCGATGTCCCCAGAGACCAGAACTCCATCCTTTCTCATTAAAAAATATGTATCTATACTACAGTATTATAAAACGTGGTGGTGAGAGTCAGTCTGTCTCCACTATATCACATCCATTTTTTGCAACCGCTAAAAATGTTAAACCGATGTAGTCAATATGAAGACCTATGAACGATGAACGTTTTAGGTTTATTAACTACCCTTACTTGGACAAATGTCGTACATGGAAAGTCTATTAAAACTGTGTAGTGGGGAAAATATCATAATTAATTTAGTTCTAAAACATGTTACTATTATTATATGGACTTAAAAAAAAATAATACTGCAAGCTAAATGTTAGTTATTATTACTTTAAACGGTAGGAGTTGATCCAACTCCAGAAACGTTGAGTATCCCAAAACACAAGAAACATTGATGAAGTTAAAATGATAATAATAATGTAACAATAGTCTTGTGAATATTTGTTTACGAAACCAGTAGGGAACTGTACAAAGTCTCTGTGTTTTGGACGATTTTGATATTGTGATATCAAATTTACACTGCTTAACGTATAATTGAAATAGCCTTCAAAATACACAGCCTTTTATAATACTAGATGTTTATAAATGTTCACAAATTAATGGGAAAAAATAACCAAAATGGGTATTTGAATTTTTTACCAGTGGGAATATATTACAAACAATTAAAAATCCGAAACGGCCTTCACCCCCAACATGGTGATTTACTATATCACAAGTGTGTTTCATACATAATTGAAGTTCATTACCTAAACAATATCCTTTGTTTGGTGATTTCAGAGATAGAATTGACATTTCGCATGTATACTCCACTGTGTACATACAGCAGAACAAAGTTTACAATTCTTTATTTTTTAAACCATTGTTCGTATAACAATAAAATATAAAACACTTGCATCATTCTTGCATGCTAATCTTTTACGCTTTGAAAAAGAAACCTCGCTCGCCCAAGATTGGGATTACAAATTTCCAAGGACTGGTGAGGGAAGCGTTCACAGAAGAGAAACTTTTATTACCCTGCTAAAAGCCCTAGCTGAATGACAAGTGTTCCTAGCTGAATGAATATTGTAAATTACCGAATTAAATGTAAAACCTGAATATTGTAAAAAATATAAAATAAAACATATTACCATTGACTATATAACACTACATATAAAAAATTTAGTGTTATTTAGTCAATGATATTACCGAAATAGTTTTGACAATCAACAGTCATTATACTGAACAATGAACAATACAGCTTAATAGTTCATCTATGTCATGTTTCGATACCTCTAGACAGACACGATTATCACTACATAACGTCTTCATTTTACTCTTAAATCCAATACAGCAATGTGTCATATTATATTTAGTAATAAGACAATTATTAACATTTTTAAGACTAAAATACAAACATTTATTTTTTTAATTGATTGAAAAGTATTAAAGTATTATAGTATATACTTGAGTTACTGGAGACACCTTTGAAACACAACTGTTATTGCCGTACAAGAAAAGTAGCATCTGTTAAATGTTAACTTTTCAGTTAATGCTTAAATATATTTTCACCACACTATGATGTTTTTTGCTTTATTATATAGGCTACGTTAATTGTTGGCTGAAAGTTACGTTTTGCTGGCCATGCCAGCTGTCATCGTAATTTGGGGACCAAGCAGGTTTTTACAGGCCGGGGCCGCAAAATCAGCTGTCTGCTTACTTACTTAAAACATGAATGCATTTTAAATACACAATCAAATAGATTTGTATGTAGTGTGCTTTTAGTAACTGTAGATATGTGCTTTGTTCTTTGAGCATGCTATTGTTCATACTTTTCCATTACTATTTACACTAATTATATTCATGGTTATACGTAATAAATATTATTTTTACACAATTTTTTAAATTTCATTTACCACTATTTCCATTTAAGTATCACATCAATTTGTAAAAAGTGTAATGCAAAATGCCTGAATTATTTTGCAATGCAGATTTGTCACACTATTTTTCAAACCAGATAACGAGAACCCCAGCGTATGCAGGAGTATATTTTCTTTTCCTACAGTCACCCGACAAAGTTGGCTTCCTTGTACTGTTTATAGTACAGAAAGCTGCTTATTGCTGCATATTTATACTTTGCCGTACGGTTTATACTTTGCCGTACGGTTTATACTTTGCCGCACATCAGGATTCCAACGAAACAACACAAAACAGCGTGGTTCTATTATGCACGTAATCCGTGTACGCTTGGAAAAAGGTTGGCAACACTTAAAGATAATAATACTATGAGCAGCTGATTGACTATTATAACTACGATTTAACCTGTCATTTCGTGTTTATAGTTTCGGTATTTCTGAACTTTCTGGACTTTTCTTTTAAACGTTTTCAAAACATTCCAACGATCTTAATAAACAAGAAAATGCCTTTAAAGCATTTTTTTAGGCGCGGAAACCACTTCAAATTACAAAAACATATGGAACTATATTCTCAAAACGCGGAGCACATTTCTTGTCGAGGAAAAATAGCGGAGTGATACGGACCGCGGGTACTACTTTCTCTAGGGCACCATTTGTGTTGCCAGCTGAACCTAAAAACGTGTTTTATATTGTTTGAAAGACTAATTATTTATATGCTTTGTAGTGACTGTGGGAAAAATATAATGTGTAACACGAGTGAAAAAGGCCTTTGCTGCTCTCGAGATCATTCCGCACTCGCCTGCGGCTCGTGCGTAAACATTGCTCTCCTGTGCAGCAAAGTGCCACTTTCACCACTAGTTACACAATAGTTATTTGTGTAACTAGTGGTGAAAGTGGCACTTTGCTGCACACGAGAGCAATGTTTACGCACTCGCCTGCGGCTCGTGCGGAATGATCTCGAGTGCAGCAAAGGCCTTTTTCACTCGTGTTACACATTATATTTTTCCTACAGTCACTATAAATCATATAAACAATTAGTCTTTCAAACACTATACAACACGTTTTTAGATTCAGCTGGCAACACAAATGGTACCCTTAGAGAAAGTAGTACCCGCGGTCCGTATCACTCCGCTATTTTTCCTCGGCAAGAAATGTGCTCCGCGTTTTGAGAATATAGTTCCGTATGTTTTTGTAATTTAAAGTGGTTTCCGCGCCTAAAAAAATGCTTTAAATGTATTTTTTTGTTTATTAAGATCGTAGGAATGTTTTAAAAACGTTTAAAAGAAAAGTCCAGGAAGTTCAGAAATACCGAAACTATAAACACGAAATGACAGGTTAAATCGTAGTTATAATAGTCAATCAGCTGCTCGTAGTATTATTATCTTTAAGTGTTGCCAACCTATTTCCGAGCGTACACGGATTACGTGCATAATAGAACCACGCTGTTTTGTGTTGTTTCGTTGGAATCCTGATGTGCGGCAAAGTATAAACCGTACGGCAAAGTATAAACCGTACGGCAAAGTATAAATATGCAGCAATTAGCAGCTTTCTGTACTATAAACATTACAAGGAAGCCAACTTTGTCGGGTGACTGTAGGAAAATAACTATTTAACGCATTAAAAAAACATTTATTTGTATACAGCAGAACCAAATTTTTGACCAGGGTGTTTTATATTTTTATACATTGGGTTGTCTGTAGCTGCCGATGTGGGGTCTTCATTTGCTAAATCATAGGGCCATAAACGAGGGATCGTAAACTTTCACCGTACCCCAGCTTACAAAAGCCGAGATATCCTCGCGGTCACGTCCCTGTGGGCATTGACTATGCAGCGGGGGTGTTTTTACAGTCTGGGAGATCCAAACAACAGTTTGGACTCAACAAGTTTTCTTTGTACTGTACATAAGCAAATAAGAAATCATTTTTCTGTTAATTCAATTTATCTTTCGATTATTTGTTTGGAGTAAAGAAATTACTAACCTTCACTAAGCGTTGTTAATGTTAAAGATTTTTACAATGATAATTTTTAGAATGATTACATTTTGCACTATTTGCTTTAGAATTATAAGGACCATCACAGAAGAATTTCAATCAGAATTGATTGTTTTTCAAAAATCCATTTCTCGGTTTTGTCATAGTTTTATGGGAAAATAGCATAAGTTTCAAGAACTTTTGAACCGTAGTTTTTACCGGAAAATGGGGCTGCACTAGATGTTGTTAAGAATAAAAAGGATTATCACATACTTAATTCAATCAAAACAGGTGTTTTCTTTAGAAATTAACATTTTTTCTTGTATTAAGGGATATTTTGTTGAAATACCATAATTTACAATGGAATTTTAACCGTAATTTTTACAGAAATTGGAGTTATCCTTTTTTGTTCTGAGTTACAACATACTACAGTACTATTTTTTCAAAATTGTTTGGTGATTTCAGACATCAATTCAGTGGATATATCCACTCAAAACTCATACTAAAAAATTTTGGGGTAAACAATACCATAGATAAATCATACTCCCTTAGTAGATTTGTCATCCTTATGGAACAGCTGAAGCCAATTTTATTGTTAGTTCTGTACGTCCAACTGTAGAGGTTATGTTTTGTTTACAATTTGTTTCTTGTTATTTCAGTAATTTAAAACCTCATTTAACCAAATAAAAAAACAATAGCTGGTCTCATAGTTATATAACCAAATAGTAAAGCACAAATCATGAAAATAACTCTAAAATAATAGAAACAAAATGTTGTCTACCCCAGCGATCGGCGTGGACGTACATGAACTAGACACGAAAAACAAGCTTCAATATTTACAATGAGATGAGGAGTCTACTTTGTTGCTTAGTCTATGACAATACTTTATCCATGTACTAACTAATATGGGGAGAAATTAAAAATAAGTTGTCAAAGATTTGCTATACCCTCCTGAATAAACTCGTACCGTACCAAGCATACGGACGGTACGTGCAAATGAGTAAACAAAACACGGTATCGCGCGCGCAGCAGTAGCCTACTACATCAGGAGCAATGACCTACATCGCATTCACACAGCTGCGCCACCGCCGCCGAGTACATAGCGAGCGCGGGCAATCGTTCACTCCGCATCGCCGAGTCTAGTCCAACAGTTTAGTCTAGTCTAGTCCGCCGCTAAGCTCAGTCCAGTCCAGTTGGCAGCAACTGCAGCGCGCCAGGCGACGGTTCCATGAACTACGTGGTGACGGTGCTGCGATCTAAGTAGAGGGGTCAGTACTACGTGCATCCACCGTGCACAACACAGTACATTGTAGAAATTTCCTGTTCACGCGTCCTCCCGCATAGTCTTCAATCTAGTAGTGTTAATATAGTCAATGGCGCCGCTTGGCAGCACCAGCTCGTCACCCGCATTGAGTAAACCTGGGTAATAAAATCACTTGTAGAAATAAAATTATGAAATGTATTTTACAATATAAATTACACAATAGTGCCGAGTCACACTCAGCATAGAACCTCTAGAATCCCTGGTACTGTAGTTTGTACAATTATAAGTCACCATCTCCGCTGTCATCAGAAGTTGACATATCATCACCCAAGTCCAGCAACTCTATGTCATCAGAATCACTGGTGCTGCTACTATCACTGTCTGATGATGTAACACTATCCTCAGCATTGCTTCCGTCACCAGCTTCTTCTGCTTCCAATTCTGCGGCAACTTGGTTATTCACTTCCTCCAATTCATCCAAGATGTTTTGAAGGTTGCCTCCATCACCTACAATAAAACATTTTCTAACTTTAGAAAATCAAGCTAAAGAGGTCGTGTATAAGTAGATTTGTTGCAGTATTACATTACACAAAAGACTCCAGATTATCCACAACAATGATGGCCGAGTCATCAAAGATAAACAAACCTACAGCGTTAACCATGTTTTACACTTGTCTATGAACAAAACAAATAATATTGAAGAGCCCGTGTAGCCTAGAAATAGAAAGTTAAAACCAACACAACTCATTGGTTGTAATAAGTACCTCATCCGTGTTTGGTAAAGCAAACCATGCCAATTATAGTCTGATTGCGCTAAACATCTTGTCAGATATTATTAGTCACAAGCTCTGACGTTTTACCTTTAGCCATAGCTTCAACTAGTTTGTAACACTATCTAAAAAGCCATAAATCATTGGTAGGATTTGAATCTTAAGAGGGTTCCCTACCCCCGCTGAAAAACGTCAGAAAACCGCTTCGCGCGGTATCATATAGCGATTCCAGTTTAAACATTTAAATTGTGAACCATACACCATTTTGTATATAAAGAGTGGTTCTACTAAGTTTGCTTTTTAAAAAATGTCTATGCTTACGCAATCAAGGGCAACGACTTGTCAAAGTTAGTGAACTTTACAGTTGAATAATAATATCTTTTTTGAAATTATCGATTTTTAATAAAGCAATATCAGTGCGAAATTTAACTAAAAATATCAAGTCACTTTTAGTTTCAAGAAAAGATTTATTTTTGGTATGTGCAAAATGAAACCGCGTAAAACCTTGCACGGCGAAAAGTGCTATGATTCTGACGGACTCTAGCGGCCTTTATCGAAACTACTGTCTCGCGGAGGGATACCAATTTTACACATTCTTCATTCATAATATTTCCCCCAAGATTTATCCATGACACATAATAACATTTAATTATTATAAACCAGTTAAGCAGACAGCAATCCTAGGGAATATTTTGTCGTCTTGTAGTTCCAACTAAACTCACCAGGGTCGCAGAAAATTGAAAACAGTCCAAGGTAGGGAACCCCCTTAAGTGTTGCACTTCAAACCAATGTTGAGATGTGATGCTATCTTGGTAGTTAGCATCAGACTTTTGACGGGTTTGATTAAACCGAACAATATGCAATTCAAGTATTCATAAATAAATATTTGTGGATTTTAGATGTTTGGAATGTTTTGAATTACAAAATACCACTGACGTTGAAAACTAAAAACTAACAATTTTCAAACCCTAATCCACCACTTTCACACAGGCTATAGTTAAATTAAAGTGAGGCATAATGACGTTCTAGTAAAACGTATGAAGATTTTTAGCATTGATTCAGCTATCTCTGTACTATCTATGTTAGAAAATGTTTTTACCATGATCATGATACATAAACAAACAGTATATGGCTTTACGTGCATACATATAAAATTGTCTAACATGTATAAAAATGCTAGACACATTGTATTTACGTTTTCCTCTAGGATAAAAGCAGATCTCTACCTTCTGTGACATCCGCGTCATCAGAATTGTCCATATCTGAATTGTCGTCACTGTTATCCATGTCTTCTTCTTCTTCTTCGTCCTCCTGAACAACAATGAAAAATCAAGAGAAGAAATAAGTTGGAAAAATAATATAAAACTATTGAGGCTGGAGGCTTAGGTACAGTTTCATCTACAAATGCAGACAAAATCCAAGCAAAATGTGAGAACAAAGTGGAAAAATAATTGCTGGAAATGGTGTGGATTAATATTGGGTAAGAGTGTGGTTTGTATTCTTTTACCTCCAATACACGTGGGGAGTTACACAACGGATTATGATGAAATTAGAAATAAGGGTATCTATATTTTCTCAAGAGAACCATTTACTTTGGAATTCATTTGGTAAGTAATGACAAAATTACATCTGAACTAAGTTCTTATGATCCTTTGATAGTTAAACGTGCTAATCAAATTTTAAAAAGTAGCAAGTAGTCATAAAGTCTCGAAAAGTGAATTATTGCCATATTGGGGACTATTAAGAGGGATCTCGTAAGAGGACATTGTTTTTCCCAATGAATTGCATTTGAGGATCTAGCATTTATCGGTGATTTGTAATTCAGGTAATCACTGTGGGATAGTATGTAGAAGAAAAACAAGAAAATAAATTAAATAAGAAAGAAGGTATTTTGTTTAAATAATAAAGAATAGCCTTGTGCACAACTTACGACTTCGTCCTCATCATCCCGTCGTCGGCCGACGTCATAGAGTCTTACAATGGATTCCTGCACACTATCAAAAACTCCTTGGTTCTCCACAATGGCTATTTGAGTGTCGACACGGTTTAAAGCCAAGTCATAAATGTTTTTCTTCACGTCAATCGTTGCTGAAAATGTAATAACACATGTTAGTTTTGTATAGTAAATCTGCCTTAGTCAGTGACAACTGACAAAACTACAAGATCACGCTACTCATCAAACACTCATATTCATTCATACTTGGCTTAAAACACCTATTTCGTATGGTCGCCATTTCAAGTTAAGTATAAGTATAAAAGTATATTACAAATTCTTGGAAGAGATAGGTTTTTTCGGAGAGTTAGATTAGATGGAAGTTTTAAGTTGAAGTCAGCAGTGTAAGGCTTCAATTCTAAATGCAGTTTATCAGAGAGAACACATCTTGATACATCCCTTACTGACATCGTTGGTTTGTTACCTTTGCTGTGCTTGTTTGGTTTGGATGTAGGGTAAAATAAAAATAGTATTTGGACCTGTCCCTACAAAATTGCAGACTTTATATATTTTGCAAAATAAAACATCACTTTATGAAAGGTGTTCCCTCAAATGAAAAAAATATTTGTTAACAATTTATCCTCCAATCAATAGCATTGAAATCAATCCTTTTGACAAAAAAAAAATCGGGAGGTTGAGTCACATGGCTCTCTTGTAAGATTAGATTTTGGAATATTCACATGACATCACTCACCAATGTTAGCATAGTCCAGTGCGTCAAGTGTTTTGAATGAAGACTCATGCGACGTGTCCTCTTCCATCTCCTGTTCCACTGTCATTGCGTAAATGGTTGATCCGTAAGTGTTGAACATAACCTCACAACCCTCCAGCGACGGAACGGTCCTCAGTAAATGGAATGTCCTTAGGTCCCAAACTTCTGTGTTCGACACAACCTAGAAACACACCAATTTTGATTTGTTTCAGAATATCTAAAATCTTATGTGAGCAGTTAATGAATAAGGTTTAATACAAATAATATTCTTTCATTATTGTTTAGTCCTGAATCACGTGAACCCATTGATGAAGACTCTCATGTGTAGCCTTTCACCACACTTTGCGGCAAGATAGCCGTACTGCTAACCCACTGGTGTTCAAGTAGTTAATCGAATCTAGATTGCTAGTGTTGTCGTATGCTTGTAGTGGCAGTCAAACTGTTCGGCCGAAAGTAGCATGGTAGCTCAGCTGGCTAAGACGTTGCACTGACAAGTGTAGTGTTGAGGTCTTTCTACATGCGTGGGTTTGATCAATCTATACTGAGCTTACTAATATGGAGTTCGAACCTAAGAAAAACGGTGTCCGGTATGGGTGGAAGTTGACGGCATTAGTGAGTTAAATAAGGATTGCACACAATACCTACTTTCCTTGTTTTTACATTTAGAGGAGGAGGACACAGATTTTTCTTTTTGGCTTTTATTACGTTTAAGCGACATATGTAGAGATAAATATACGATAAAAAAGATAAATAAACATAAAAGGACATAACATAACCTAAGAAATTAATTTAAAGAAATATGAAAAAATATTCCGGGGTCACTCGATTGTCATGTAAATATGTAATTTTACCTTAATTCTGTACAGTGATTCAGTAACCTCTATAGATGGATAATAGTTTTTGTTATGCTATTTTAAGGATTACTAGAAACATTTTCCAATACATGTTTGTAGTACTGTGAAATGAAATGAATGAAATGAAAAAATATCTTTATTCATATGGTATACAGTCGCATACATTGAATGGCGTCACTAGGCTTAAAACTAAATAAAACTAATCTACAATTCATCGAAACCATAAAGTGTTTTATCAGTTAAGAAATGTTTAAGTTTTTTTTTAAATTTGGAAATATTATCAATATTCCTCACCTCAGCTGGGAGTTTGTCCAAAAACCTTTTCCCTGCACAGGTGGTTTTTTTGTTAAAGAGCTCCAAGTTATGGACACTGACAGCAATTTCGTTTCTGTTCCGGGTAAAATAATTATGACAATCACCAAGTTTAGGGACCAAATTAGCATTAGAAAGTTTTTTTGTGTGTAAAATTGTATGAAAAACATAAATACTATACACAGTCATTATTCCCAATTTTGAAAAATATTGACGAGCGGAAGTATCCCATTCTAAATTTAACATAATTCTGATTGCACTTTTTTGAAGAGTAAGAATTCTATCCAGGTTTTGCTTAGAGGTACAGCCATAAATACTTATGCCAAAAGATATTGATGAATCGATAAAAGCAAAATAAAGAATCTTTAAGGTTTCTATTGAGCAAAATTTTGACATTCTATTAATAGCATGGATACCAGAAGTAATTTTGTTGACTACCTGGTCAACATGCTTATTCCATGTAAGATTTTTGTCTACAATTAATCCTAAAAACCTTGTTGTGGTGATTTCTTCCAATTTATTATTTTGAAATTGAATTACAGGCTGTACAATTTTTTTTCTTTTTCCTGTTGTAAAAACCATAAAATTACTTTTGCTTAAATTTAACAAGAGCTGATGAGAATTTAAAAAAGTATTTAGCATATTTAAAGTATCAGAACAATGATTTTCTAAATTTGATAAAGATGAATTGCTGATTTTAAAAGTAACATCATCAGCATACAGGCAGATATTACTACTGTGTAAATTAGTTGAAAATGGAATTGACAGATCCCTAATATAAATGAGAAATAAGATCGGTCCCAAAATAGACCCTTGGGGTACCCCATGGTGAATCTCTGTAAGAGGAGAAGATCTTGAGATTAACCTGTTATTTGTCAAATTTTTAATTTCAACGTATTGATATCTGTTAGAAATATATGATCTAAACCATTCAAACGAAATGCCATCAATGCCCAAACTTCTGATTTTATCTAAAAGAATTGTATGTGACACACTGTCAAAAGCCTTACTTAAGTCTAAAAATATGCCAACTGTTGTTTCACCTTTGTCAAGAGAGTTTATTACTGATTCTATAAAATCTATTGCTGCAGTTGTAACTGATCTTCCTGATCTGAAGCCATGCTGATTATTATCATGTAAAGAATACGTTTCCAGATAGTTCGTCAGTTGTATGTAAACTGCTTTCTCATATATTTTTGAAATGGTAGGTAATAGCGAAAGAGGACGGTAATTGGTTATTTTTTTAGAATCGTTGTTTTTATAAAGAGGAATAACTTTAGCAATTTTTAATTTAGAAGGAAATAATCCACTAACAAAAGATGAGTTAATTAAATGCACAAGAGGTTTCACTAACTGATAGCAAGCATGCTTTAATATTGTCATGGGTATCTCATCAAAACCAGTTGAAAGTTTGTTATCAAAGGAACTGATAATTTTTAAAACTTCACTATCTGTGACTGGTTTTAACCTAAATTTAGTTTGGGAGACTTGTTGAATTGGCTTGTTGACATGTGTGTTGCTATTTTGTGCAAGGTGAGGAAGTATTGATGAGGTTACATAGGTGCTAAAAAAATCATTAAATATTAAGCTAATATCTCCAGGATCAGTAAACAATGTATGATTAAAATCTATTTCAATATTACTAAATGCTGGTTTCTTGTTGGAGACCTCATTATTAAGGATTTTCCAGGTAGTTTTACATACATTACTAGATTGCTTAACCTTAGTCTCAAAATGTTTCTTTTTAGTAGCAATGACTTTTTTTCTAAAATCCTTATTCAGACTTTTGGCTTTATCAAATAGAATTTTATTTTTTGTGTTACGTGCCATTTTACTCATGTTTACAATTTTAGATTTTTCATTCTTCAAATCATCTGTTATCCAAATATTATTTGATTGTTTGCATCGTTTTTTAAACTTAGGAAAACATGTATTAAAATAAAACATAAAAATTCTATGAAAAGTGTCGAATTTCTCCATAACATTTGCGTTGTAAACATCTATCCAGTTTTCATGATCTAATAATTTAGTAAACATGTGTAAATTTTTTTCACTAAAGTCTCTTACTTCTTTTACAGTTATTTTATTTGGAGTCAAAACATTTTGGTTTGTGAACTTATTATTTAGGCAACTAATCTGCAACAATAATCCATCGTGATCAGATATCTGGGTATTCACTCCAGTAACATTCATCTTATAATCTAAAACATTTGTCAATACATTATCTAGAGCTGATTCTGACATATATGTAACACGAGTAGGAAAGTTTACAAGATATCTCATGCTATATACCTGTAGTACGTCATTAAGCATTTTCCTGTAAGTAGTGTCCAATACATTAATATTTATGTCTCCAACAATTACAATGTTTTTAAAATGTTTCAACAATAAATTTAATAAAGAGTCAAGCTTCTCTAAAAAGAGATTAATTTTTACAGAAGGGGATCGATATATTGCTACTAGTAAAAGCTTTAAACTATTATGCTTGTACTCTGTAATACAACACTCAAATTCTTTTTCACATATTATGTTGGTATTTTCCAAAATATTTATTTTTCTATGTTTTACATTTCCATTGATTTTACCAAGGATCAAGACACCACCACCACCAGATCTACTTCTTGCAAAAGATGAGTGAATACAATAGTTATTTAAATTAAATCTCGAAAGTTCTAAATCTGTCATTTTATGCTCATTAATTAATATTAAATCGGGATTTAATTCTTCAACTGTTATCTGTAAAGAATCTATTCTAGATGGCAGGTGTTGTATATTTAAATGAAATATATCCAATTTAAAACTTTTGTTGGTTAAATTTAAGTGATTTCTTTTGGCATCTTTAATAAGTTTTTTGAAGGCGGGTTGTCTGTTACAGTTGGTGGTGTACAAGATATAACATTGCTTACTTTATCCTTAGCTTCTAGATTACAATTTATATTAATATTTCGGGTTTGAGGAGGGAGTTGAAGTGTACATAGGGCAGAGAGGCTATGCATTACGCCGGCACCAGATACCGCACTGACACTAGCACACCCACTGACAGCCAACCCCCCATCACTTGACACAGTTGAAGGTGAAATTCTCAAACTGGACTGGGAGGTATCATCTTCCTCTTGTAGTTGGCTGTAGACATTAACATCTTTGTGAACTGCTGTTGTAGTTCTGGTTGCATCAGTGTGTTGTTGGATGTTATGGATACCAGTACTAGAAGTTTTGACAGCGATAGCTTCTCTGAGACTTGTGATAAACGCAGCATGCGAAAGGCCATTTCTAATGTTGGTGTTGGTTCTTTCATCTGAAGTTATGATGATAACTGATGCATTAGTTGACCTTTGAAATTTCACTATATTATTTGCAAAGTGTGCAGGCGTGACATGATCTCTGGAGCATCCCATAGGAGAACAAATTAAGGTTTTCAAATTTTGTTTATTAAATTCTTCTATTAGTTGATCAAAAGCATTGTTGTAAAATATGTACTTATTATGTCTTGGTTTTTGGTAGTACCTTGATTTAGTGACCAAGCCAAAAACTGATGGCCCATTGTTAACTTTCTGCTGTGTTAAATTAGAGTTACAGTAGTCCGAATCACATGGTTTACCAAAACACTCTTTAAAAGCTACAGAGCCTAGAGAAAACCTATCACTTCTAATATCTCATGAGCAGTTAACCAATCACTATTACTACAGAAACAGCAGCTTACCTCGAGCCCGTTAGGATGAAAGACTCCGCTGAGTGTTTGGTTTAGTTTATCAAACTTGTGTATCTGCTTGCCAGACGCAACGTCCCACAGAACTCCGTCAGACAAGATCAACTCGTCAGTAGGGTTGAATGTGGCTCTGTTCTTTGTATATTGGTTTGATAATGTTGGTGTCAAGGTGAACAGCTTCTGACCCGTCGTTATGTCATACACCTAGAAAAATAAATGTAATATTACATAAATAAAATATACTGATTCTTAATTCATACCCTTATGAATGTAATATGTGTAGAATGTTACGTCTGTTTATAAATAAACTTAAAAAATACTAATCTTATAAGTAAAATGAAGCTATCATGACTTACATTAGCATGCTCGTTTTTTGTGCTGATCACTCTATCTTGAGTTAGTTTGCTGAACTCAACATATTCATCATCGTCCATTGCAAACCTGAAATATATTACAATGTTTAGGTATGGAAGGGTAACATGAATGAATAAAACATGTGAAAGAAAACCGTGCACACTTACTTAAATATAGAACCGATGTACTAAAATTTGCCTCTGTGAAACCGAAAGATAATTGCTATTGATAATCGCCACTACTAGTAGCGGCTACTACTCTCATTCGCCAAAAGTTTCTTCATTGCAGTCACATTAGGTGATTAGTAGTAGTGAGTCCTACAGTAAAATGCTTCTATTGTGCTTCTAGTGTTTTATAGCATTGTGTCATCAGTGGGGGCTTTACGACGTCTCTTGTTGTTAGGTGTAAAAGAGAACTGTGTAAGGACTGAGGAGTTGCTTCGTAACGCAACACAAGGAGTAAGCATAAACGGAAGTGAGTGAACTATGAGTATTAAATAGGGATGGACGAGATTGGATTTTTAGTTCGAGACGAGACGAGACGAGATTTTTTATTTCTCATAAAATTTCGAGACGAGATCGAGACGAGATTTCTCTTCTCATACACAACGGGAAATGCACGTTCGAAATTTTTACCTGATTTTGTAACATTGTTAGATGACTGTTTAAATACTAAAATAATGATAGTAGGCAAGAATATTTACAATCTTTCATTAAATAACATCAGCATAACATTTTTTTATTAATCACGCCTAACTTATTAAAAATGCCTACGATTAGGAAACATGGTGATATCAGTTAGGATAGAGTTCAACTTATCCTAAAATAAAATAAATCATAAAATAAAAGCAATATTAATTTTTATAAAATAGTTACTTGTTTTGACTTTTTTATACAGTAGTAATAAAACATTCCTCACACTGCTTACACTTAACAAAACTTCTCAAATGTTATTAAAGTAATATTATTAAAATAATGAAAGTAATATTTACATTAAAAGAATTAAAGTAATATTTACATTAAAAGAATTAATTAAATAAGAACGCCTTCGAAAAGGAAACGCAACTACAACACGCTCCTGTATTGCGGGTATTGCATTGACTTTCTGCAGGCGTTTTTAATTTTTTTTTTTTCAGGGTTGCCACCAAAGTGAGATAAAAAAATTCATGCATAATTCAAGGTTTTCATTGGTAGTTTTGAAAAATTCATGGGGTATATGCTCGCACAATTTCACCATAAAAGAGTGTTGCCTAGTTCAGAATTGTACATTAATTTATCGACAATATATAGTTTTGTGTGCTACTATCAAATAAAACACATTTCATGCGTTTATTTTAGAGTTAAAAATAAGAATTTAATATAATTTATCCAGTCTAAAAAAAGTAAAATCACAGATGAAAAAGGATATTAATAAAAATCTTGTGTGTGATAATACGATGTAATTATTTAAAAAATTGAAACATCTGATTTAACAACATCATAGGCCTAATGATAAATTCAAACGTTAGAAGAAATAATAAATAAAAAAATAAGTCGGATTGGTAGTTAGGTCTAGGCCTAACCTAAAAAACATTGCATCTAAACATAAAAGGTTTAACTTAGTTAATCCAGCAATGGCACAACTTTACTGTCTAAACATCAAATTAAGATAATAGGCTACTATAAAAACAAATGTTAAGAACATGATCAAGAAACGGTTATCTTAGTAATGGGCCATATCTAGGCCTACTAAAACGCACATGCAATTTATTACTTTATACAGTAACACAGTAGGCTAGCCTACAACATTGTAATCCAAAGCTGAATCTAGGCTAAGTTAGGCCTGAACCAACTTTTATTTATTGAGAAGATTAAAGGTTACCGACTGACTGATAATAACACTCTAAAAAGGTAAGATTATGTAAATAAATATTTAGTTAAAGCTAAGAACGAAACAAAAGTTATGGAATGTATGTAAGTTTAGACATAGGCTAACTTACATTAAGTAATAAAAAAATAATTAATTACATTACAGAAAAGGTTAAAATAAACTTAGTTAGGAGGATGTTTCTTCAGATTGGATCAGTTTATATATTATTATTTGCCTACACAGGTTTAAATCACAGTTAAAACAATTATTTAATTAAATTTACATCTCATTAGTTAGATTCGTATTGACTGAAAACACCTAGTTAATGCTTCAAAAAAACATTTACATTTACCTTCCTCAGAACGAAATCACCATTTTTCAGCACAACATTGACTTCTTGCAACTTAGGCCTAAATAAATAAACTTAATCTCACGTTGTAACACATTTACTAAACACTGACAGTAGTTTGAAATGACGACATATTTGACCAAAACAAACACAGCAGACGATTAAGTTCCAGCCGGCGCAAGCCATTTTGACCTTTATGGCAAGGCAAGGTACTTCTTATTTTAACGTTGTAAAGTATCGGAAGTATAATATATCAGTAATAAAAAATATTTAATTTGAACACTTGTTCCACTGAGTGTTGGGTAATCAATTATAAGAAGCACAAAACGGAATCACGAGTGCAACAAGTGATCTTACTGTCCAGTGTCCACCACTACTTCAAACGTTTGACTCGTTTCTAAGTTTCAGATCACTCAGATCAGTTTAAAACTTTTAGGTTATGGTTACTCTGAATTTCCTTCCACACGAACACTAGAGTAGAGTGTAAGTGTAGAGAATGAGAGCGAGCATCAATCCCGATTGTCGATGTTTTCGAAACATCGATGTCTTTTCTATCGATGTTCGAAGTTATTTGTTTACATCGATGGTAGATTACCGAACCGATGATTTGATTTGTTACATCGGTCTTTTAGGCCAACAAAAGTAATGAAATATTGATGTTTTCCGTAACTGAATTGTATTGGTTTTAGGTTAATTGGCTGTTACAGTGCAGAGAACAGACGAGAAACTCGGAACAAACATCGATGTGATCGATGTTTTAGCTCCGAAAGCATCGATTTTATCGGTAGATCGGTACTCGGTAGAGATGGGCGTTATAACATAACAGGATGAATAACAGTGTTGCGGCCACGGCAACGTTATCGCGGCAACACGTTGCGGAGAACTCCCTGTTATTATAATAACGTATCTATCTACACAATGTTGCAGGAAAGCCGCGCGGACAACGAAAACATGCATTGCCATTAGTGCCGTTGCCGCAACGCTACCAGAGCAACGATAACTTCTGAAACGAACTAGAATAACGCATCCTGTCTGGACAACGCGGCAACGCCCGACTCGCGACTACAACTGAAAACTGAACTGATCAACCGACAATGATAACTGAACGCCGCAACACCGACCGGCGGACAACGGTTTATAGCGGCAACGAGTTGAGTTGGCAATCGTTATTGAAATAACAGGTTGCCGCAACACGTTATTGGGCAGTGCGTTATCGTTATAACCGTTGCCGGAAAACAACGATAATTCCCATCTCTAGACTACTCGGCAGACGTCGGTTACGATCGGATTTGACCTTGAATAAACTACGCAATCGTTTCTGTTCGTGGCATGGCAACAAAACTTTTTATCTCGACACTCCCACTTTGACGTTTTATCTCGGTGTTCATTTCGAGAATGGTTTTAATACGGAGTATTTGATTCAGCACATTTAGGGGTTTTGGCTGAATTGTTGATAATGATTTTGAGAATTCATGGTCCAATGACGAAATTCACGCATAATTCACGCACTTTTTCATGGTCACCTAAATTCACACATAATTCACGCTTTTCAAGGTTTTCATGGCTGGTGGCAACCCTGTTTTTTCTCGTCTCGATAAAAATCTTGGCCAAAAAGTAATCTCGTCTCGTGTAACGAGATTGAAAATTTCCTGAAAATTTCCCGAAATTTCGAGACTTGACCATCCCTAGTATTAAACACAACAATTAAAGATGAAACCTTTGTTTCTGAATAAGACCCGCTGATTCTTTAGCCAAGAGCAATTTACAAAAACCTAATCATTATAGAGAGCTGGTCCCAATTCTGAACCATCCAAAAGCTATCAAATTTGTGACTTTCAAAACATATTGGTTATTTTTATTCTACCAGGAAAGTACCCCACTCACTTCATGGTAAACAGACTGTTGACACTCCATAACGCAGAGAGTGGCCTCCTCCACGTTGACGACGTTAGTAGCAGTGTTCCATCACGGTTGGCCTCTAGCCTGGAGATGTACGACTCATGACACTGGTGTGTGGCCTCCTCCTGACAAACAAACGGCAACATTTACATTTCTTGAGGACATTTTTTAAGTTCATACTTCAGGTAAAAGGAATACCTTTTTGAACCCTATGAATTATTCAATGATTTATGCTTTATTCCCATAATCTTACAAACACGAGGCTACACCTTTGACTGCTTGACCATAGATCAGACTTGGCAGTCTACTACATTAGCATAGTTCTAAACTGACTACCTCGTTTCAGTTATATAGAATTGAGAAATGAGAAGAGTTACACAAGTATAGATGGTTGTCCGTTGAGTTTTTGTTATTTTATGTTCGATATATGAGCCGTTAGAGCTCAAAAGGTTAATAATTCCTTAGAAAACTAAGTATAATACTACTTAGCAATTTCCTTTTAGTTATATTAATCACTAAATGCAAGTTTCCTAGCTGCCTAAATTAAACAAGGGTCAAGTACAACGGACCGTTTACTGTACTATTCACCATTCTGCAGCTGTATTTAGCAGCCAGGAAAAGTGGATCAGTGATTTACTTCAATATATATCTTCAGCTTTTGTGTATATTGTACATTTATACTTACAGATCCTGTGTGTAAGTTGAAAATCTTAACTTCTCCATGATGCGTCCCCACAATCAATTGTTTATCTTTACCCTGAAACAAATTAAAATCAAGTTCTGACTAAAAACATACCATTCATATCACACAAAAAACATCTATATTTTAGCAAATATTTTTCTATGTGTTGAATCTAAAATAATTCATAGTATATTAATCTGTAAATTATTAACTAATAATCAAGCAAAGGTTTAAGTACCTCTGACCTCTGATCATCCACAACACAAACTCTGCCAAACGCAGTCAACTTTTGTAAAAGGCTCCGGTGTCTAAAACTAAAACCCATTAGACCAATGCCAGATTATCAGGAATTTTTCCATTGATTGATTAGCTGATTACTGAAATCTTTTAAGTTTATCAGGAATTAGCAACAGTTAACTTACTTAATGTAAACACTATTAATCACAGACTAAGATAAACTTTTCTGGAAATAAAATGCAAATTACTTTTACTTGAGAGACTTACTAGGAATTCACAGCATGTAAAGAATCCGTCATCCTCCCCTAGCCTGATCGTTTTGACGGGACAAAACCTGGAATGGACGAGTCGGTTGTTATACTTCCGTGAGACAGTTCCTCGCATCAGCCTCATCGCAAAATTGGCAGGAATGGCATTCTTTGGCTTAGGATCTGGACACTTGTGAGGCCTGCAAGAAAGTTCCAAATTATTTAATTTTCTAGTTAGGGTTTACTGAGTTAATTAATTACCAACCAAATAAGGCTTAGTAATACTTTATTTATGGTAAGGTTATATTTATTAAAGGAATGCAAATAGGCTAGAAAGGAATAGAGTAGTAGGTTTCTCTTTAACTTGCTCTCAGAAAAAGTCCAACATTAGGACAAAATAACATTGTTATGTTATTGTGTTTATATGTAGGCTATCTATAGCCCCTGGACTCTACTTAAGTGAGCTAGCTGAACTCCATTCCTTTGCAAAAAATTCTTTAATTTATTAAAAGAAACTTATATATTAAAAGAAACTTATATAGGAGCCCCCAAAAAGATTTTGCATGGCAAGCAACAAACTAGTTAACAAAACAATTATTTGAAAATCAACTTAACACAAGTTGGTGGGCAATATTATTTGCTGTTTATACTCACACAAACAGGTTGAACTGTGGGCAGGTGACCATGGGGTTCTTGCACAGTGCATGCTGGTTAGTGAGGTACTCAGTGATGATAGAGTCGAGTGTCACGTGGCATTCTTTGAGTCCCCCTGTGTTCTGACTGAGGCCCCCAACCTGCTGCTCACAACAGATCTGCTTCTGTAGCGAGCGGCAAGCCACCGGCGTCGCTTTGGCATCTGTTTTCCTGAAACATAACAAAATACTTTTGAAATTCTTCAGTGGTGTTTATTGGGTGGAAACCCCATAAGGAAATCCAACCATCTTTGAAATAAATATCCGTAAATAAATATCAAAATCTTACTCTTTTATGCCAAACCTGGAAACACTATAAGCATTATAAACTGCAAGTCTTCATCAACAAATGTCTCATAAAAGTCAAAAGACAAACGACAATAGACAAAATCTTTATTGAAATATTCCTAGAGAACATTCATGCGTCAGGTACATAAAATGTACAGTATGTACATAAACTATTACAGTTATTTGCAATTACAATTGCAAAAGAATAACAAACAAAGAACTACTGCAAATTACTAATGTAAATCTGACGAATATAACAATAAAACGAAGAATGTCTGAGTTGATAGGTCACATTTAAACTATTGTAATTCTTAACGAAAGAACAATAAAGAATATTGTATGTATTGTATTGTACTTTAAGAAGGCCCTACTGAACTGTCAGCCAACAACACTGGAATAAAAACTTTAGGATAGCAAAGAGCAAGCCAAAAAAATCTGTTTTCTACAGAAATCAGCAATTAAAATCAGAACAATCGGTGGCTTAAGTATATGTAAATTTTGTTTCCAAAACTGGACAACAGTTTCTACAAGAGGATATCTAATTCTATTAATAGCCAAAGCACAGAAAACATACTACTATAACCCAGAATGCTAACCATGCGTTTAGACAACATTGCGGTCGAGATCCTAAAAGCTGGTGATGTAGCCGCGGACTTACTTCATCCACTACTTCACAGATTTGGCAAGAGGAGAGAACTCCAAAGGAATGGAAGAAGGGTATAGTTGTCAAAATACCAAAGAGAGGGGATGTAACGCTCTGTAACAATTGGAGAGGTATTACCCTTTTGTCAGTCCCAAGTAAAGTGCTGGCCAGAATAATCCTAAACCGGATAAAAGGTTCCATTGAACTGAAACTGAGGAAAGAACAGGCAGGTTTCCGGGAAGCAAGAAGTTGTGTGGATTTAATTAGTACTCTCCAAATCCTACTTGAACAGAGCAAAGAATTTCAAAGTACTCTTTACCTCTTTGCATTTGTAGATTTCGAGAAGGCCTTTGACACAGTGAAACACCAGGTGCTGTGGCATGTTCTACAAGAATATGGGATACCCCTTAAAATCATAAATATCATCAAGGCCATGTACGATGATTTCCAGTGTCAGGTTTCGCACCAAGGAAAGTTGACAGGAGCAATCCCAGTTAAAATAGGTGTTCGCCAGGGCTGCATTTTATCACCAATACTGTTCCTTTTGGTGCTGGACTCAGTATGAGGAGAGTAACACATAATAGAAGGCAGGGAGTGCAGTGGGGACTGAGGGAGCGGCTGGAGGACTTTGACTTTGCTGATGACCTTTGCTTGATTGCCCAGGGAGGTACACTGATATTCAGGCGAAACTAAGTTCTCTACAAAGAGAGGCTGAAGAGGTGGGTCTTAAGATAAATGTAAATAAGACAAAGGAAATGAGGTTGAATTCCAGAGTAGCCCAAGCCTTAGAACTAAATGGGAAGGTGATTGAAGAGGTTGACTCTTTCCAAAGTCACAGCAGACGGAGGAGCAAAAGAAGATGTTAGGAGCCGCATTGGGAAAGCTAATGCAGCATTTGTTCAGCTTTACCCAATATGGCGAAATATAAATATTTCAATGAAAGCCAAAATCTGCATCTTCAACACAAACATCAAGTCTGTCCTCTTTATGCCAGTGAAACTTGGAAAATGGATCAGTGTAGTACTTCTCAGCTCCAGGTGTTTGTAAACAGGTGTCTCAGACGTATAATGAGAGTGTTCTGGCCAAACACTATATCAAATGAACAGCTTTGGGAGGCAACAGGGCAACAAAAGATCAGCCTAGAAATCAGAAGACGGAAGTGGAGGTGGCTGGGTCACACTCTTCGGAAGACAGATGGTGCAATTGAAAACAAGGCCCTGGAATTGAATCCCCAAGGGACCAGAAAGAGAGGAAGACCCTGTGACACCTGGAGGAAGCCTTGAGTCTCGGGAATACCTGGGGTTAGCTGAGGGATCTGGCGCAAGACAGGGATGGATGGCGGGCTCTTCTGGATGCCCTATGCTCCCGCTAAGGAGCGACAGGAAATAAGTTAAGTAACCGCAGCTGGTGGCGCTGCCTACGAATTGACAGGCAAAGCTCTCTCCGAGTACTTAACGCTTTTTACCATGCGGTTAGCATTCTGGGTTATAGTGGTATATTTTCTGTGGCCAAAGGTACTAAGTGCCTGGAACTGGTTTTGTTTTGACTATTTGCATTTAACCATCCTTTCTTCCCTGATGTTTTCCTGAGACTCTCACCTGGAAGACAGACTGAGCCGCAGGGGTGTGGTGGCTGTGATTGGAGTAGAAGCCCCTCCTCTGACACTGTAGCCAGCTCCTAGCGGACTAGTAGAGGGAGAGGCAAGGTCAGATGAGGAGTTGCTCACCATCACAACCTTCTGTAGCGGGTGTGGACTCATCAGCGACGTGCGACCCTGCAAATATATCAACTAAATTGGGCACTTGTCAATACAATTATATTTTAAAATTGTATGCCTATTTAACATAGCTCGACAACAATCTACTAGACTGTGAGTAAAAAGGCAGAAGCTTCAGGTTCTTTCTTATACTAAAACTGGCTATGACTTTATCATCAAAATGAATGTCTACTTCAATCCACAGACAAAGATTCAATTAAATCCAATCATGCAACGTCAGTTATTGTGCTTAATGTTAATTTTTTTAGAACAAATGACATCTTGGTGTTAAATGAATGTGGTTCTATAACCATCCCTTAATATGAATTTGATTAAACCAAAGCATGAAAAAGGGGTTTTTTTTAAATGTCACTATTCCTTATCCTTGACACATTTCAGGTTTTCAAAAATCTTTAACAGGAAGTTTGAATAAATTACACCCATAGGCCTACAGCCCATTTTACTCCACGAACTTAAATAATGCTTCTCTCAACCATAATTATAAAACTTACAAAATTATAGATTAAATCTGTATTAAACACATCCTTACCCGCACAGGTGTGCTAATGTGCTGTGTGTAGGTGAAGGGGGCCGGCAGTGGAGTGTTGACAGGCTTCATGGCAGGTATGTTGGCCTCCCGCTGCAATGTAGCCGCAGACTCTGCCATCCCATGGCTGAGCAGATGCTGATGTATCAGCTGGAACAGCTGTTGTTCGTTGAACTGGATGTGTGTTTGCGCAATCACGTTGGCCTGTCAAGCAAACACAGTGTTGCTAAATACTTTTAAAATAAAATTAAGGAACGTTTCACACAACTGAGCTTCAAAACGTGTTAAAAAAATTACAAGAGTTTTAATTGCTTAATTAATTCATTTATTTGTCTACACTGATGTAGGCTAGATGTTGGGTTATGCACTAGTGCCAGTGTTTCTTCAGTCCCCGAAAATTTTCTCAAACTCGACTTTAGTGCTTTTAGCTATGTAAATAGCCCTATTTAATGTCATCTACGGCTGTAAAACAACGAACCATTGGGATGATTGAGCCTTAGTTGTGAGACGTACCCTGACCAGCTTAGCATTATTCCACATCAAATGTCATGATATTCCAGATATTTGTCATTCAGTTTTTGAGCTTGGTATTGTTCGATAGGAAATTGTAAAATAATAAAGTGTTCTTGTAATTCTTTTCAAACATTTTGCCATACGTTGGTAATTTATTTAGGTTAAAAAAACTATAAAATGGCCGTCATTTTTAAATTTAGAATTGAACCCCAACTTAGTTTTTTTTATCTATTAAAGGTCACTTCTATCTTAAAATACATACAAAGTTTCATAAAGATCGATTGGTTAAATAGAAAAATAAAAATGTTTATGTAGGCTTAACAAAGCGTTTTTGGGAAAAAAATTGATTTTCTCTTTAATTTCACCCATAGAACCCTATACCTGTTTACTTAAGGGACAGGGACACCTATAGCATATAGCTAAAACATACATACTCTGTGTATGTTTTGAAGAGACACTTCCAACTCATTTCCATTTGGTTTACTTTTTCCTGAAACTCGTTCCATAAGTTCTAATGCATACTTCTGGAACATAACGTGCTCTTGTCTTTTGTCTTGAAGGATTGGATCCCTCATGAGATCTGCAACAACACAACAAAAGAAACAATAACAATTTGCCATATTTTTCAAATAGTACTGTATCTTATTTTATGACACACACAAGTTTACAATCTTCTAAGTTTGATATTTTGCTTATCCGATTACTTCAGGAAAATGTTTTACATGTTGTGGGCTGTTCATGTGTCATAAACTGCCTGAGAGTATATTCTAAGACCACTAGACCAGTTTGTTGTCTGTCTTCTATAGTAACATATTCCAAACAGAAATTACTTTCTCTTTCAAAAATAAACCCCTTACACGTTTAGGGAAAGGCTCTAGGCCAGTATTGTGATTTTAGAACAAAGGGATAGCAACTAGCTTACCTTATAAATACTGTATATTTATTACTTTTTATTTATTACTTTATATTTAACTGCATGTTCTATGGCTAACGTGGCCATATTTTTTGGACTCCAAAACGGGACACCCCACCCCACTGCTAGGCAAGGGATCCGGGTGGGTTATGAAAAATAATAACTGTAGTATTTTTATGCTATCTAGACATAATTTTTAAATATAAATTAGTATTTTGATTGAGATTATTACAGCCTCTTTGATTAGGGTGCTCAAAAATAAAACATGAATTTAAATTACGGAACTTATCCTTACTTAGAAATCTCCTCAAAACAGGATAACTTTACCAAGTGCACGTAAACAGCTGGCACTGAGCTAAGGAAACAAATTTACATATGGCGGGTAGATGTCGGTGACGTTTAAGCACTTAGTTAGAAAAAAATTGTACTAGTGACAAGCGTTAACGAATAAAGTCAAACCCGCACAATTGATGACTTGTTTGTTGTACAGATAACTTAATAGGCTAATAGGTTTTTTTTCCTAAAAATGATTACCTATTATTCTTACATCAACTATTAATTAGTGAGGAAAGGCGAAATTTATTATTCTATATAATATTTCAAAACATCTGACTTTCAAAGCGGGACATTTAAGCGTCCCACGGCCAACTTGCTGTAAAGCGGAACGTATAGCTGCGTTATCTATGGCCTACCTGTACTTCTAAGGTAAGATAGCTGCTATCATCTAATCCTAGGTATCTAATATCGGTCTCTTTTACGAGGCATTGACAGCTACATTGAAGATGTTGAGTGTTGACTTACTCTGCAGCAGGCCGTTGCTGAATAGTGGTAACTTGCTGATGATCTGCCTGACAGTCTCACTGCGAGCCAGACCAACCAGAGCTCTACAAGCCAAGCCTCTGATAGAGTCTGCGTCAGTGATGGGAGTCTTGACCATCATCAGAGTCAGCAGAACCTGTACACACAATCAAACAGTTGAGTTGGTCGTTATTTCTAAAGAATACAATTGTAAATACAATGGAAAAATATCAATTGGAGTCAAATTAATTCTTAATCCCTGATTGTAAAATATTTAATTTCAAACTAAGCTTCAGTAATTATTAACTTTATACATTGTGAAGTGTAATAGATTAAATAATAGCCAAAATTTTAATAACAAACGATATAAACGTAATACTTATTTACAACTAAATCTACACAAAAAATATAAGATGCAATTTACAGGTTTTTTATAGCTTTACCAGACACGGTTAGCAAATTATAAGTTATTATCTACAATATTCAAGGTAAAAGTGTGGTTAAAAATATAATTAATATCTGTGAGAAAATACCAGATTAAGTAAATACCCCCGTCGCAGCAAACCTGCATACTAAGCGAATTTCCATTTACCCGGCTTGATTTCTACTAAAATATTCCCTATAAATTTTCAGATTTATTTCCATTTTTAAATAACATTAATTTTAGTGAGTAGTTAGGTTTGCTGCTACGGGGAAGATGTTGAGGTGTGTTTTTTCAATTGAAATATTGATAGCTTAGTATGAAATAAACCAAATTGCCAAATTTGATTAAAATATATCCATAAACAAGCAAACTAGAACAGTTTATTTATTCTCCATAAGAATAACATGGGAATTTTAAATTTACAATTTTTTTAATTTTCTCCGTAGTCAATAAACATTCAAAAACACTTCAATATACTAAATTATTTTTTTTTTAAGCTCTTCAAAATGGTCTAGAGAGAAATTTAGAAATTTGAAGTTTTTAGGGTCAAAAATGAGAAAAACCCATTTTTACCCCATAAAACCTCCCATAAACCCCTGATCCCATGGTCTGATTATGCTGGTTCGCGAACTCGTTCGAATAAATGTAGGTTTACACGTTTGTACCAAATTTCATCAAAATCGGATCAATTTTGCTCGAGTTATCGCGCTAACGGACACATATATAAATATATATATATATTTATAATATATATATATGAATTTGAACGGATGGTGTTTTTGGCCTCTGGGGACCTCAAAACGAAAAAGTAAATCGGTCCCGGGTCTAGGTCTTACCATGAGACCTACGGTAAAAGCTTATTCCCTATATGGGAAATTCGCTAAAAGAGTTTACTGAATAATTTGGGCCAACCCCCCAATAATCAATAATTTTTGGGTTTTTTTGTTTGTAATTTTGAGTAGTTCTCTATTGGAATTTCTGGACATGACATTCAATAACAAAAATAAAACTGTTTGGTTACATTTTTTTATAATTTCATTATTTTAGGTCCAAAAGAACAATGGTAAATAAATACAAATGAATTATTTAAGAGACAACATGGAATTTTTACTCATAAAAGGTTATTTCTTATTTAAGAATCAAGGTTAAAGATTACCATGATCCCGTTGTTAGATCGGACACAGTCCCACATCTTCTCGATCACTTCTTCACTGCCCAAAACATTTGAGGTACGTTTCTTTACTGAACCTGATGATGAGAACTTGGCAATCATGCCACCAACCTATAAACATACATTACCATGTATCAGAGACATTAACTACAATTCCTGTGGGATACACAACTAACAAGCACCTGTGTACTGATAAACGAGGACTGATAAGAAAAGGCACCTCAGTCCATCCTACAATCACCCTACTTTCATATTTAGCTAAAAATGCCTATTGATGATTCTTCAACATTGTCAAGTCTGATACAATTAATATTTTTTATCGGTCATAAATACATTGAAAACCTCCCAAAAAGATTTTTTTGCCATGGACACTACACGTTAATAATACCACTAAACCATGGTTGCACTAAACCATAGCCTGTTGGCAATGTTTACAAATTTTCTAGACCCATACAATTTCATGGTCACTAAAGTTCACATTAAAACAGTTACATAGTCAGTTGTACAGGATAATAAAAAAGGTTTTAAGATAGTTAAAAGATACAAATAGTGAGCGGATAAATTACCCTGACTATGGGGGCGCAAACGCAGGTTATGAGCACTCCGAGGGCGGCTCTCTGTACGTCAGGGTCGGCCACAATCTCACCCTCTGCTGCACCCAGGATTACATTCAGACCTACTGTCATCACCTCGTCTGGCAGATCTACACGCTCACACAGCAACAGCTGTACTTGCGGCATCACTGCACAGATACCTAGCACTTCTAGAGCACTACGCACAGTCTCCGCCCTACAACAAACACATTGTACAATGTAGTCAGTAGTGATTGATAAACACACAGAGAGCCAATGGTAAGGTTTGACGGATAATTCATTGAAGATGGTAAACTTAAGAAAACCTTTATGCAAACGGCATCTACCAACTTAGTGAACAATTATGGAAACATGAAATGAGCAGCCCTAGACTTAATGGTTGAGTGATGGAATACCAAGTCAGAAAATCCAGGCAAGATTTTATTGATGCGATTAGCTAAAGGATCTGCAAAGATTAGGTAAACGATTACTCTGCTATTGTGGGAGACAATTATTATGTCGCCGCAATGGCAAGAGTTGTTTACTATTCTGTTGTGATCCCAGGAAATGATCAGGATGTTGCTTTGTTAGGGGAATGGTAACAATGTATTTCATTTTGGAAAGAATAACTGTGTCAACATATTATATGGCATTATAATAAGGAAATTATCTGCAAAACTCAGCTTGAAAAAAAAACTTCAGATTTTTTCACTAATATTGCCTCAAGCTCAGCTTCATCAAGAATCACACGCATGTATATCTCTAATTAAAACTGGATAAAAAAAGTGTTGTCAAAGAAGGACTCGTTTACCTGCCGGAGTAGTTCCACTCGTATGCAAAGGCGATGACTTGCAACAGCAGAGTGATCCCTCCTAGTCGTATCAATTCATCTACAGGCTGCCAGCTGGCTCTGAATGTCATCAGGTCTAGAAGGGTGTTTATCTGCTCTGCCACCTCCTCGGGACTGCTCTTGTAGGCCTAAGACAAGTGATATACATCTGGCATTAGTTTGTTGATGTTTATATTTGTAAATAAGTGGGTTCCAGTTTCTAAGTGAATACTTTGCTTTCATACAGATTTAAATCTTCCGTTCCATATGGAGAAAAGACTGTAGCTTTTATGGTTTCTGCAAAGACAAGAGTTTCTACTTACTCTACTCATCCTAGTCATTTTATGCCAGGGAGGTTGAAAAACTATCTGCATTTTACACAACAGGGCATGGGATGTGGATATGACATGGAACGGTAACCAGAGTGTTGGTTGATTGTAAAAAGCACAAATTTGAAGAGGAGGTAAAAGATAAAACCACTGCGCTTCCCACCGTTTTATTCAAAGGCTATGGTCCTATAGCAAGTGGAACACATGCTTTACCTTGTACGGTGGCAGAGTGGCTGGCATCTTGGCACTTGTTTCACTGGTGTTCTCTCTCATATGCAGTCTACGCAGATTCTCCGCCTTGATGTGCAGATGAGCCTCCAGGTAGCGTTTGAGCGCAACACACACATGCCTCACAATCTGACGTGCCGAACATTCCTCATCTTCGTTGAGCGCTGCATCGTCTTCAACTGCCAAAATTGGCAGCGTGCTCATCTAGCAAATTTTATTAAATAACAGTTTTTTTCAGTTGTACGACTTCCTTCGACTATTGATAGAACTATACATTGAATTCTTTCAATAACGTCACTGGCTAGTTTTAGAAAAAGAATTGACGTAGTTTTATTGAGCCACTGACAGAGTGTAATGATATAAACTACGGATTTTTGTTAAATAAACCTAATTTACAACCAAGCTAAAATAAATTACAGCTTATTTTAAACAATAGCATCTTAAATGTTACATCAACTATCAAAGTACAGAAACAAAGAAACAAAATTGAATTTACACTGTAGCGCATTATACGATGCAGGATAAAATATAACCTATATACTTATCTTAGTAAAAACACTTTGGTGACTTTACATTATGAGGAAAGTCTATATTTGCCTGACAGTCAACTTGTACCTGTAACTTTGAACTAGAACACTCATACTTACAACATTGTAGAGCTTTCGCAAGCCATCTTGTCTATCAAACTCTTCTAGAATCACTCTAAACTGGAATGACAACCCGAAGAACATCGTGGCGTGGCACCGGCCCGAGTCATGTGAACACTCCAACAACCACAGAGAATAACTGGAAAATAAATAGTGAATAAACTTCAAACTTCATTTAATTATTGAAATTGAAAAAAAAACCATGAAATGGAGGATTGCAACTCAATTACATACTAATTTGAAAACAAATTGATAGCTTTAAGCTAGGGGTGTGCGAATAGTGATTTTGAACCTCGAGCCGAGCCGAGCCGAGCTTTTTAAAAAATGTTCGAGCTCGAGCTTTTTCGAGCCGAGCTTTTCCTAGCGTAACCTTATCTTAATTATTAAACTTTTTTTCTTAAAAAAGTGCATAATAATAATAATGTTCAGTCAATTTTTAAACAAACACAATGTTATTTTAATATGTTTAAAAACATTGAGAATTGTCAAGACATAAAATAGTAGATAATCACGATAAGAACTGAACTGAACTAAATGAAGATGCAAGAAATAAAAGGATATCGATTAAAGGCCTGAAGAGATATGCAGTGCAGACTGAGACAAAGACAATCAGATTGTCTTTCAAAACAGAACAGCAACGCGACCTTGAATGACGACAAAACAACTAGCAAGTCGATTACATATGTATATTGTAACTAGGCTACTATGAATATTTAATTCTATTTTGTATAAATAAATACAAAATAAATTTAAAAACACGTGATTATTCTTGTTGTTTTCCATGCACAAAATATTTTTGTTTTATGAATCCTATTAATCAAAAAAGAACATGGTTGGTTTGGATCCAAAAAGGTGGAGAGACAAGTTTTACTTATATATTAAAAAATATATAATTGACATATAGAGGAAATAGACCAAAGCACTAGAATTAATAACCAAATAGTCCAGGCAACGAAACGATATAGAGGGAAATGTTTGGAACACAATTTCTGACTTCATAACTTTGTTTAGTATAGTTAGGAGGTTAACATACCAAAAGTCCCTGCCTCTAGCCCTTGTGCTGTGGGGGAGGGGGGGGCTTGAAGGTACCATTTTTCGGTTTTTTGCTGATATCTCGGAAAACATGCGTCCAAGCGAAATTATGCTAATATACAAAATGAAAGCTTATTAAATTTCCAGCAAGTTTGTAATTTACTATTTTTCGATACCTTGTATGGTTTTCGCGTTATTTGCTATCAAAAGTTTGTAAATTTGGAAAAATACATTTTTTCCTCATGTTTTTTGTTCTTTTTGACAAGTTGCCTCTTAAACTATGCACCCAAAAAATAAATGCTGGGCATAGGGTTGTAGAAAATTAAATTCCCTTCAATAATATATATGACTTTACTAGTTTACCTCCTTCCGTTCAGATTTTAAAACAAATTAACCGTCAGTATAAAAAAAATTAAATTTAATTAAAATTTAAGAAAATTAAAATCTAGTGTTGAGCAAGGAATTTGAAGTCTTGCAACAGCTGTTGACTACTTAATATTTCAATTTATCACCTTACACAGTCAACTAATTGGTTGGAACATTCACTATCAAGTAGCTAAGGTGAGTGATGGGCGTCTAAAAATAGCACAGATACCCTATAGAAAATATATACTTGTGGGCTGCCTAACCAGCTTCCTCACACTTGATGATCTAGCTAGACTATTGTAATGGGAAAATATGGTGTTATAACCATGTTTATGCATATAAGAGTGTCTATATGACACTGGAAACAATCACAACCATTAAATTTAAACAAAGATAAATGACATATTTAAGTGAATTAATATAAAACATTACATCAGTAAGTAGCCTACTATTCTATCCCTTGCTATCTTAGTTTAATAAGGACTACCATCCTCATCATTTTTATCCTTTTTTCGGACTTATTTTGGAAATAAGTACTGTTTTTCATACTGTTTTTTATACTGTTTTTTCATATTCTTAGTTATCTTTTGCAGGAACAACATTTTGGCTTTTTTTGCATACTTATTTAGGCTTGCTTTTTTGCTACCTGATTTTGCAGGAGTACAGTTTTACGTGCATAGGCAGAAAAAAATTTTGAGAATATCCTTCAGTGCAGTTTCATGCTAAGTGTGCTCTGCTACTACAGAGTTGTTATTATTCTTTTTCACTCTTACGTAAGAGAAGGCACGTTATTTCCCAGCCACAGCTGAACATTTGGAATGTACATGATAGGAAACGATGTTTTAAAGCACCATCAGTCGGAGGAAGACAAGAGATATTAGGCTTTATGGAGACCATCGATTTAAAAATTGACTTGTACCTGTATAGATTGAAGTTGAGGGATACCTCTCTCGCTGGAGCCCATATCAAATCAAGATGTACATTTTCCCTACCTTTTGTATTTGGGTGGTGTTGGAGAGGGGGCGTGAAAGACCGATGATGCATTTTGGGCCACTGGGGAATTCAGATACAACTTCGCATAAGCAACCTTGCTTTTCTCAAATGCTGAAGATTTTTTGTCACATCCAGTAGAATCGCGTTTAAAATATCATCTAATCCTTGTTAAGATAGTTTATGGTGCGAGAAAAAGATGTTCCTTACCTTCTTTCTTAGAGAATAAAAGGATAACAACGATTATGAGGATGGTAGTCCTATCCAAACTAAGATAGCAAGGCTGAATTGACTACTAAGACTACTCACTAATGTAATGTTTTATGTTAATTCCTACTTAAATATGTCAATTGTCTTGGTTTCAATTTTATGGTTGTGATTGGTTTCCAGTGTAATATAGACACTCTTATATGCATAAACATGGTTATAACACCATATTTTCCCATTACAATAGTCTAGCTAGATCATCAAGTGTGAGGAAGCTGGTTAGGCAGCCCACAAGTATATATTTTCTATAGGGTATCTGTGCTATTTTTAGACGCCCATCACTCACCTTAGCTACTTGATAGTGAATGTTCCAACCAATTAGTTGACTGTGTAAGGTGATAAATTGAAATATTAAGTAGTCAACAGCTGTTGCAAGACTTCAAATTCCTTGCTCAACACTTAGTCCAGTCAATGAATGATCCAAAAGTAGGTGTAGAGTGCGTGAGCAGGTAACTAAGCGATTCCTTCAGAAACTTGTTCAGGGGGCTTAGGGTGTTAACATACCAAAAGTCCTGACTCCTAGGTGGTGAGCCAGGGGGTGGAGGGGGGAAAAAGGGGGGGAAAAAGGTACGCATTTTGGGTTTTTTGATTATATCTCGAAAACTATCAACTTTTTGTATACTATAGTAAATTATAAAATTGAAGAAGATTAAATTTTCTACAAGAAAATTATATAATGTGTTTATTTTGGTTCAACAGATTACGAGTTATAACTTATTTAATTGATATCTTATTAAAATACTCCTTCCATAAGAAATACATGTAAATTAGTATGCGAAATGGGGCGAATCCTATCCGCCCAAAGGAAATATAACTGATATTCTGGAAATATTGACAAAATTTCCAGTAATTTGACACTTTAATCATGAAATTTTGTCAAAAATTAAAGCGAGGGTGAGCGTTTAAAAATGCGATGATTTAAGGTTTTTTTTATATTTACAATAAAAAAACACCAAAACTCGAAATTTTGTTACCTCGCCCTCGCCTTAATTTTGGATCAATTTTAATGATTAAAGTGTCAAATTACTGGAAATTTTTTCAAGATTTCCAGAATATCATTTATATTTCCTTTGGGCGGATAGGATTCGCCCCATTTTGCATACTAATTTACATGTATTTCTTATGGAAGAAGATTTTAATAAGATATCAATTAAATAAGTTATAACTCGTAATCTGTTGAACCAAAATAAACACATTATATACTTTTCTTGTAGAAAATTTAATCTTCTTCAATTTTATAATTTACTATAGTATACAAAAAGTTGATAGTTTTCAAGATATAATCAAAAAACCCAAAATGCGTACCTTTCTCCCCCCCCCTTTTTCCCCTCTCCACCCCCTGGCTCACCACCTAGGAGTCAGGACTTTTGGTATGTTAACATTCTAAGCCCCCTGAACAAGTTTCTGAAGGAATCGCTTAGTTACCTGCTCACGCACTCTACACCTCATTCTTTGACTGGACTAACTAGATTTTAATTTTCTTAAATTTTAATTAAATTTAATTTTTTTTTATACTGACGGTTAATTTGCTTTAAAATCTGAACGGAAGGAGGTAAACTAGTAAAGTCATATATATTATTGAAGGGAATTTAATTTTCTACAACCCTATGCCCAGCATTTATTTTTTGGGTGTATAGTTTAAGAGGCAACTTGTCAAAAAGAACAAAAAACATGAGGAAAAAATGTATTTTTCCAAATTTACAAACTTTTGATAGCAAATAACGCGAAAACCATACAAGGTATCGAAAAATAGTAAATTACAAACTTGCTGGAAATTTAATAAGCTTTCATTTTGTATATTAGCATAATTTCGCTTGGACGCATGTTTTCCGAGATATCAGCAAAAAACCGAAAAATGGTACCTTCAAGCCCCCCCCTCCCCCACAGCACAAGGGCTAGAGGCGGGGACTTTTGGTATGTTAACCTCCTAACTATACTAAACAAAGTTACGAAGTCAGAAATTGTGTTCCAAACATTTCCCTCTATACCCTTTTTTTAGCATTCGTTGCCTGGACTAAAAGCACTAGAATTAATAGAATAACACACAAAGTAAACAAGAAATGAAATGCAGAACACGATGATTTAACACTGTCACTCAATTTTGTTATCTAGAAGGGTCGGCGAACTAATCAATAAATAGCCAAAACCAGTTTCCTCCCCTTCACACAGTCTCACCGCCCCCCTCCCCCCCAATCCGGGTGGCCCAACACTTTGTCCTTGAAACACCCTTGCGTCTGAAACAATAAACCCTTACACCCTCGTTGCTGTTTTGACAACAGGTTTATGAATGCGATCACTATTTTTCATTTCCAGAATTAACTATCAATTATTATTTATTTGCAAGATACAAATAGGAAACTACATCACATTATGGTATTCAATGACCCATGTACTATCAAAAATTAATAACTCATTACTTATTTTGATAATAAAAAGCATTCATTACAGCACGCGCCACTTATTGATATATATATATATATAATCCTCAAAGTAACTGTTACTTTATAAAAAATAAAATAGGTACAAAATTGTGTGGCCAGTCAAACTTTATAGGCCTAAACAAACATTTTATTCTATAAAATACAGATGGTAAATAGGGGTTGGTTTAAAGGAAATAAAATACAAAACATATTAATTAATTATTTTGATAAACATTAGAAAGGTTATGGGATTGATTGAACTAAAATAACCGCAGGGAAACTTATAAGTAGAAAAGTCGTCAAACACAATCTGTTTAATCAGTACATTGTTAGAGAGAGAGAGAAAAAGAGAGATAGCAGATAAGGAAGTTTGATGATAAGGAGTTTGATAAGGAATCTGAAAAAGTAAACAAACAAGGAACAACGACACGACGATTACAGCCTTATTGTCTCGCCCACTACATTTGCACACGTGACCACTTTTTGTTTCTTCCTTATCTTTCATCCGTCCCAAAATAGAATTCCTGAAATAGTTTGTTGGTATAATCTCCCCTCCCACACAAGGCGCAGTGCTCAGTGCACACTGTAGGTTGCCACGGCAACCGTGTGTCGTCATAGCGACTTAGCCAATCACGCACTCGCACTGCGTTGCATATTACGATACGAATAGTTGTGTTAGAAAGACAACGCAATAGGTGGTAGTTTCCTCAAAATTAGGATCGATAATCATTGCGTCTTGACTGAGCTGAGGTTCGTGCTTATCAAGACACAATTATGAAACGGAGGAGAGTAAATTTAAATGAAAGTTAGTTCCTTATTTATTAATTTAATTTTTATTTGCTACAGTAGTTCAATAAGTATTCGGCTCGAACATTTCGAACTTTTTGAAAATCACGAGCCGAGCCGAATAGCGTCCTATTCGGCTCGAAAAAGCTCGATGTTCGAATACTCGCACACCCCTACTTTAAGCTAGTGATTAAATATTTTTTTTTAAACGGGCAATGATTCCCAGAACCTGGTGTCCTTGAGAACATAAGCTAACAGCAAGGGACAGTTTATGCTACAAATTATTCATTCTACCTTGCCATTATTCAAGGGAAAAACAACAAATTATACCTCTGAACATGGCACAACTATGCCTTATAAAATGTCATGAACATCTTTAAGTATACGTATACAACGATGTAAAATCCTGTAAATATTTGATTCCTAACATCTTTATTCAATTGACAATATTTGGTAGCACTATAATGGCCAGATTTCAAGATCCAACCAACATAGTTATAATGAAATTTATGCTTCCTTCAGGAGTAAAATCGGTCTGGTTAAATATATTTAATTTACCACTCACCTAACTAAATCTGCCAGTATATGATGAGGTAGTAGACACACACGCTCCATGGCGTCTTCACAATAGGCGAGGTAGTAAAGACAAATAGAGACTCCAGTTGCTGCAATGCTTGGTCTAGGCACCTCTAGTAGTCTCTGTAAATACCGTGTTTGTGAAACAAACGTTAATATTGCCTTGAGGGAACTCAAATCTTCCCACTACCTAAAATTGCCCATATCTGTCAGTTTGAACAGGAGGTGTGAGTGGGTGCGATCGGGAGCAGATTAGAGAGGCAAGATATAGTGTTGGGACGGGGATTGGTGGGTCGCAGGTTGTGAACGCAGAAGCTGTGAGAATTTAATATTTTGTCCATGAAAATCGAGGAAAACTTTGAGCAGCTACATTTTACTATTATATAGCACACACTCATTAATTATTTGTTTCTTCATAACTAGGGGTGTGCGAAGCAGCAAAAAATTTTCGATTCGAAGCAACGATTCGATTCAAAAGATTTTCGATTCGATTCGATGCAACTCGATTCGAAGCAATACGGTATTTTTCTATTCATAATTGTCAATTGAGTGGATTAACAATAATTAAAATGTATCACATTTGTGTAATACAAATTTTTGTTGATGTGGTATTAGGCCTATTTCATACTTAACATATGAATTTTAGGTGAAAAAATATTTATTTTCAATCATATGTATTAGAATAACTGCTGGAAATACCAGTGAGCTGCTTTACTTGCCTATTTCATAATTTTTACTTGAATTGGCTCAACTGCAAGAAAGAAGAAAATATTTTTTTTATCAAGACATTCATTCTCATTTTAATAACTGTTAAAAATAAATAAATAGGTGCCGGTAGCTAAATTACAACAAATTTGAATGGAACTTAATATAAAAAGACCATTAAGAAATAAATTTACATATCACAAGTTTAGGGCCTGTGGACCGGCTTCAAGACTGCAAGCAAGAAGAAAATAAAAATAATATGTTTCCACCATGCAATATGTATCATTCATTCCCTGCCTCCTAACCTCCTTAGTATAATAACCTCACACTTACATTATTTGTTACATCATCATAAATAAAGAATTATTATTGGCATCAGTAGGCCTACAGCTTTACCTAGGCATTATTTTTATAGGGCCTAAAATAGTAATAGGCTAGAAGCAACATGTCAAGTGGAGAACTCATTGAAGAAAAGATATTGTGTAAACTAATTTCCTATAAAACTCAAAAACAGTAAATAACATACAAACATTGTTTATGGTATAATTAATAAGGACTAAAAAATGCATATCATGTCATACAGTAGTATAGACCTACTGCAAGAGATTAAAATCCTAAAACAACTGATTTTGATAGCTAATGAATGAAAAGAATTAAAAATCCATAAAATAAAGCCAAACAATATCACAACTAATTAGGTACCCGAAAAGTAACTCTTAAATAATATATAGAAGATTAAAATAATATTAAATCAAGAGACAAGAAAGTTAAATGCTATCTTCTAGCCTAGTGCCCTTGGCAACACAGGTCAATGTTTTTAAACTACCCTCAATGTTTTTGGAACAGCAGGGCCTTTTTCTCTTAAGGAAGGGTAGTAGTATGTCAACAAAAACAATGAATCAGTCTCACCAGCCAGGCCCGGGCAACGATGTGTGAATTCAAGGTCATAGACCCTCCCCCTCCCCTCTTACACCACCCGGTTGCTACCCAGTTGCTTCAATTGCTGACAAAATGCAAGTGATGAAACAAGGGAGTAGAGACAAAAAAATATATATCTTTATTCAAAAACACAAAACTGTTAGAGATTATTTTCAAAGAAATTAATTCAATGTAATTTGTGACTTGTAAATATTGTATTGGATCTTAGAAATATATTTTTTTAACCCCATCTAACCAAGATACAGATCTGTTCACTATATCAGATATTTCTTTTGTTTATAATTTATTATGTAAAATAATAAAATATATTTTTAATTAGGTATTGAATAAACAATAAATGATTATACTAGTATGTCTGGATAAATAGTCTTTCTATTCTTTTGACTTTGTTTTCTTTGCACTGTTAGTGTTGCGTCACGGCTTTTGTCTTGTTACTCTTATCAGTAGACGACTAGACCTGGCTCTGGCTAGTGGCAGTGCGGCAATTGCTCTGTTGTGTCTTTATTCTTAAAGGTCGTGAGCCAACTTAATTTTTAATTCTCATTTGAACATTTTAATTCCTCTGTAATAATAGATATAATAATATAAGAGTGTTTCTTTGGAAATAAATTATTCTTTTTTTTTCTTTTGCCCCAACAAAAATTTGGGGACGGGGACCGGCAGACACCTAACAAAAATACCAAATGAATCAGTCTATAACATTAATCTTACTAGTTAAGTATTAAGTAACAATTTTTCAGACTTATTTTTAAAATGATTTTGGAGTAACCTACCTTGTTTTGGCTAGGTTCACAGTAGTAAAATATTTCACACACTGCTTACATCAAGACAAAAAACAAACCTCTAATCATTTGCAATGTCAAAACAAAAAAATATAAAACAATTAAAGCTATATTTAATGCAAAGAATGTATTAAATAAGAACGCCTTCGTAAAGGAAACGCAACAGCAACGCGCTCCTGTATTGCGGGTATTGCATTGACTTTCTGCAGGCGTTTTTCGTATATGGATACTGACTCCCTCGTGAATCGAATCGTTTTTTGACCACCACTGAATCGAATCGCGATTCGATGCATCGAATCGAATCGAATCGAAATTTCGATGCATTTTCGATGCATCGCACACCCCTATTCATAACACTTGTTGCCTTTATTGGCTCTGTCAAAAGAACATTTGAGAGGACAAGAATTATATCAAATAAAATGTGTAAATGAGTTTTAATGAAAAAACTATATAGTTTTACCCATGTATGTATTATTATAATTGAAATTATAACATCATCTGGGTAACTGACTTTTCGATTATACTTTAACGCCTCTTGCAAGACATACTACGTACCTGAAGTCCTTGCATGTTGATAAATTCTATTGAGAATTTCTTGTGACACAGAAGGGCAGCTAAGTACTTGAGTGCTTCAAAAGATAGTCTTGAGTTTCGCGAATCCCGAAGATTCATTATTTGTAAAATTAGATCCAAGGCGTTCTTTTCAAAAACGTGACTAAGAAACTGTAAAACAAACGTGGAAAGTTTAAAACACACAGCAAAACCAATATTTGTAAATTTTTGTGGAGAAATTATTTTCTTTTAATATCACCCCCACATTATAGTGAATGATTAAATGAATAGCACATATATAATAAACAAAACTAACATACAGTATGGTAATTTGCTCAACTCAATGAGTATTTAGTAAAAGGCATCAAAAAATCAATTAACTTAATTGTTCTTTTATGTCATGACTGTGCGCCTGAAAACATACAAGAAAATTGTACTCATTAATTGTAGTTGTAGGCTGAAATGGTCAGGTATAATTTTAAATTTCCTATTTCAGTATGATTTAAAGAAAGGGTACAGAGTCAGATATTAAGATTAAGCAATTTTTAAGCAAGAATCAAATCATTTAGTAGCAATGAGTCTAAATAATTTAAGTTTGATTAAAACTTAAATATTTTCCAATTCTCATCTTCATGTCTGTCTGATAATGTTAAACGCCATAGTTGCTTATTAGTAAATTACGTATTCATCTTACCTCCTGGTACTCGCCCATGGGCGTGAGGTACTTGAGGATGAAGTATTGCCGGGTAGCCAGTGTGGGAGGGTACATCTGTACGTTGCCGATGACGAACGGTTCCAGCTCGGCCCACGAGGAGTTGCTACAGTCAGAGATGTGGAAGGGCGATGGCTTCGTGTGCGGAGGAGACATGAGGCCAGGCCGCAGTGGACTCGGCGGTTCCCACACAGCTTCCACACTCTTGCGGCGGACCTCTGATAACACAACATTTACTGATTTTGTACTTTATTATACAAAAATATTTAGAGATGGGTCGGTTTTAAGTCAGTTTGATTATTAGAAAAAAAAAACTAGAAATAATGGAAAAAGTCAGTTTAGTTTATCAGTTGTGCAATGATTTTGCTACATTCGAGGAGCACAACCAATAACAATGAGTCCTCAAAATTCCGGCAGATGTACAAAATTTGCCGCCGTCACAAGAAACAAAGATGGTGCCCTAACGATTTCAGATGTTCAAAATCTTTACATGATATTGCCGCAATCGCAGATTAGTATTGATGACACTGTGAGAAATGCACAATACACCAAATTTTTAATAATAAAGCTAATACTGCTAGTTTATCAGCAACTATACAAAGCATCATGGCTAATGAGTGTGTAAAAATAAGGTTAAACTGCATCTAAATAAAATTGTACCATAATAACTGTACAACACAGAAATAATTGTTAACCCACTAAATGATTTTTGTTGTCCTAGGACACTAGGCATGAACCCAGGATCGTTTTTCACATTACTGTGGGCTAGACCTAGGGGTTGAGGAATTATCACTTAGATAAAATACATTGGTGATTTGGCACGATTTGAACCCAGGACCTCAAGGACCCACGTTCTACCACTAGACCAGCTCGCCCCCCCTCTAAATGATATTGATTACAAGAAGAGTTATTCTGTATGTTGGTGGGCATTAAAGTCACTTTAAATTAACTACTATACATTATGGACTGTACATAAAAATTATAGGCTTTAAGATAATGGCAAACTTTAGGTTTAAAAGTCAAACTCAATCCTGTACTCACCTGATTCTGAAGGTTTCTTGGGCCCATTCATTTTTGACGGAGTTTCTTGACAGCTTTTTGATATTTCGTCTGGTGGTGGAGGAGATAAATTTGCTGTACCAAAACCACACTTTTTTATTTTTAAATAAATTATTTACTAGGCTACTTTTAACCTTTTCTGTCCCTACATCAGTACTATCGAAGTGTTATTCAAATTAATCCATATTTTACAGAAGTAACTATATGAAGAAAATCTTCCCGATTTAGCAAATATTTTCTTACTATTTTCCAAGGTGTAATGTATAAAAAATATATTCAAGATTATTGACTTAATGATAATACAAATTTGTTTGATACCTATTTAACATTTACATCATAGATAAAACGTCAGTATCAATAGATTATTAATTGCTCAATGATAAATCAGCAATCAATTTATTAATCAATCCTTTAAAAAATCTTAATAAGGATGAACTATCTGTGTTTTGTTTAGGGACCATTTTCTGAGTATCATTATCAGTACCGGTGAATGAGAGACAAAACCAAATCTTAAATCCAATAAACCTTGAGTAACAACTCAAAAATAAGTTAAGATTGCTTTAATAAGAGATGCAATCATGCACCCATACTCTTCACTTGCTTGAGCTAAAAAACCTTAATGCTTTTCAAGGCAGTAAGTTGAATCTGTATGAGAATATTTGATTTCAAAAATTCCATACAAGATTTTATTCATACCTCTTAGGATTATTTGAGAAACAATAAGTTATTTAGTAGCAAAATACTATAAAATATATTGTACATGACTAATTGACTATGTAGCTAAAAAGCATAACACTATAATAAATTGTACAGAATACTTACCTACAGAAGAATTTCTTTTCTTTGGTGTACTTTCGTTGTGGTTCACAAGCCCATTTTCCAAGTTATTTAGATGAGCGAATGGTCTACTAGAGTTGTGCTTCTTATCTTTGCCGAAATCGCTTTGCAAAGCATGCAATCGTTCCAACATTAATGGGACAAGTCGACCATTTTGTTCCCTAAAAACATTGAATTTATTTCATTAGCTTTTATTAACATTTCAAACTTTCAAAACGTGCGATTGTTTCAACATTGGAATCAAACCTGCATAGTTTTTATGTGTGCTTTGTTTGGTAATTTTTTCTTACCAAATATACTCTTTGAGTACAATAAATAAATTAATTATGCAAAGTAACTGCTGTACTGATTAACTGCACCGTAAAAAGACTATCTGTAACATATATATGTAACATATACCTACTTGTTATAATATTCTTATATATTATAAGATTATATAATATTATATAATGGTATATGTGCAGTAACTTACCTACTATGGTAGGTACTGCATATTTTTACTCTTGTAAATAGGAATAAGTTAGCTTTTTAGAAAATTCCTCCAATGTTGAATTTTAACCATATTGACTATTATTAATAAACAAAATATTAATGTGTTGTAGAACAAATTTATTTTAAAAAAACAGTTTCATAAAAAAATTAGACTTGCATGGATATAATTATATTTTATTACTGCAATGATGGGAATGGAAGTCTCTAGATTCCTAGAAGAGATCAGTTAATCCAGCCAGTTTTAAAATTCAGGCGGATGACCCGAAAACCTACTTTTGCCCGGGCAAACGTGGTTAACCCGAGCAGCTGCAGATGAGTCTGCTTCTATCATTAATTTGCAAAGTGGTGAATTTGTAAAGTGGAGTTATTTTGAATCCAATTAAATCGTTGAATTGATTTTCTAATTAATTATAGGCTACTTACAGACAGGCTATTGGATTCCAACTAGTCATGGACAGGTCCCGAAAATTCGGGAAATTTTCAGGAAAAAAATATTCCCAATATTCGAGACGGGATTACATTTGATTCAGGAATTTTTCGGGACGGGATTTGGTCCAATCGTCGGCAATTTTGCCGCATCGAGAGTGACGATAACGCCGCTATCGCGAGATGTTCCGCGAACGCAGGAGGCGAAGTCATTTTGACGATCGCGCCGTGACCGCGGAGTCATACCGACGATCCCGCCGAGACCACGAGTCATACCGCAATGTGACCGCGTAGTCATACCAATGATCGCGCCGTGACCGCGGAGTCATACCGACGATCGTGCCGAGACCACGGAGTCATACCGACGATCCCGCCGAGACCGCGAGTCATACCGTGCCGTGACCGCGGTTGTTAGTTGTCTGGTTGTTCGACTATGTTTGGGGCAGGCTACGGGAGAAAATAAGGCGTCGGAGCCACCTTTTGAGTGGTATGCGGCTATACAGCTTTTTGAAGCTGTCATGCGCCTGCCTTTGCCGGCACGGGGCTCAGCTGACTTCGATCCTGCTGGCCAATCGGAGAGCGAGTTAACCTTCGTCCCAAATTGTGAGGAAGGTGAAGGGAGAAGAGAGAAATATTGTCATTCTGATTCCCGGCTTTTTGTAAGTTCGTTCGTTTTGGTCGTTCTCGAAAATTCGTGCAAGAGTGCCAATTCGTATCGCAAGCTCTGAAACCTTAAGTTTGAATGTATAGGTTTTGTAGCGAACGCGCAGGAACCTAGTTTGTTATAATTTCGTCATTGGGTAAGTTTCGTAATCAACTTACAGATTTTTGTATATTACTCGGCCAGTCTTCGTGAACAAAACTTCACTGAAACTTGAAGGCTAGGTCTGACTCCCAGAACTGGCCATACGTTTTAACCAACTCATTTAATTAAGTATAACAGTTGGTGACATATCCTTTCAATTAACGTTTCATAATCTGTATTAAGACTTTTTTGTTAAATTCTTAAAAAAATTTTCCTAAAGTTTTAGTTCCGAAGTTTGTTCCAGCAGACAGGTTTCTGCTGGACAAATTTTGTCGAAGTTGGTTCAGGTTGAACACGTGAGAAAGTATAAGTTTTAGTTTTGGTTTTTTAGGCTCAAGGAGCAGTTTTATTTTTAGTTTCAGTTTTTCCCGTTTCGTATCTCACCTGGACAACTTAAGCCAACTCGTGTTTTTTTTGTGTTTAATAAATTTGGACTCTATGGGAATTAGGCTAGGCTAGGCCTCTCTTATACTAACCTTGTCTGTTTCAGGTTAACGCCTTAACTCCGTAAGCGGGGTGGCTACTTAGTTTACTAGTTGTCTCGTTAAGTAGCTAGTAGAGCGTCACCTAGATATTCGCCCACAGAGTCAAGTCAAAATTACCAATTTCCCCACAAGCCCCTGCTAGAGTGGTGTTTTTTAGTGTTTGGTAACCCGCTACGTTCTTCTCAAGCTCTGATAACCAGGGCTATCAAATTTAGGCTAATCACTACCGAATCCTGGGAAAATTCCCGCAACCCGACTCGTGCGATTCCTGGGACTTTGTTTATTGTATAGGTGGCGTAATTTCCCACGTGTCGCCTTTAGGAAAATGACGTCACAACTCACAGCCCCGTGACCGCGGAGTCAGACCGATGATCATGCCTTGACCGCGAGTCATACCGACGATCACCCCGTGACCACGGTCATTTTGACGATCGCACCGTGACCGCGAGTCACAAGTTTCTATAGGTACCTGTAAATTGTTGTAACCAAACCATTTTTTTTTTTTTTGTTTTTATAGATCAGTGCCACAAACGGTAAAAATTGATGTCGTTTGTCTTTTTTGGTAACCGCAATAGGCCTACTCAAGACTTTCTTTTTATCCACAGGAAAAAATCCCGTCCCGAGAATCGGGAAGGAAATAAAAATCCCATCCTGTCCTGTCCCAAACTAAAAATTCAATCCCGTCCATCCCTAATTCCAACTGCATTGATTTATCAAAGATTTCAGTATTGTAGGCCTAAACCGAAGAGCTGATATTTGAGTGATGACACTGACTCACCTGAACGCTGCTGCAATGTCTTGCACCTCCATAGCAGCAGCCAGCAACCCCGTGGCGTATGTTTGTAGAGGCTCTGATGATTTCTCCGCCCAGGAAAACAGTCTTTGAACCAAGGCATCGTTGGTAGGCTGTAAGCATCAATTCATGTGTAAGAGTTTATGTTGCTGTCAAAACTATAAACTTATTTTAAATTCCTTTGAGAAAACAAAATTGTCACCAACTTTACTCACTGTTAATTTTTCAAAAAAATATTAAGCTATAAAATGCAGGCTTGTTAAGTTATACTTAATCAGTCTCCTGGATTGGAAATTAATCTAAAATAAAAATGTAATGTTACCTTTTACCGTCAGCAATACTAATAGGCCTAGTTCTTCTAATAATATTCGTTATTTCTCTAAAATTAAAAAAATGACCAGGGAACACAGAAGATTTACCACCCAAAGTTGTTCTTAGTGGTTATTGTTGAATGGAAATACCAGTATTAATAAATTAACAAACATCACTTACACTCTCAAACACAGCAGATGTTTCTAGTCCAGGCAGGATGTCTATCATGAGGCGACAAGCTACAACATTCAGTTTGTTGATGTCTCGCCCGGTTATCCCCGACCTAGCGTAGTAATTCTCTCTGAGGTAATCATTCACCAGCTGTGATAAAACAACAGTTTGTAAATCACATATTTAGCTTATGGAAACTTTTGGAAATTCATACCAGGTAAGGTATGGTAAGTGGACTATTTAACAAGTGATCTTTATCCTAGGTAGTGCACATGTTTGGTGGATGGTTTAAAAGGAACTAAAGATACAATTATGTGGCCTTTTTAAAACGATAATACAGGGTTTGGCATGATTTGACTGCAACCCTTACTAACAAAGCTTCGGCCTGCATAGACAGTTCCAGCGAAAGTCCTGACCCCACAGAAGGGAAATGAATGAAGTTAGAATAGCCTAACGGCGATACGAGTTTTACAGTATAGTATTTAATTTTTTGCCTAGTCAAATATTGTTGGATTTTTGTTAAATTTTCTTTTAGCAGTTAACCTTTTTTTAAGAAATAAAAAAAAAACGTTTTAGCGACAAAGTTTGGACAATATGCCTGCTGTCAAATGGGTGCTTCATTTTAATTCAATTCAAATTCTCTTTATTCATTCACGGTACAAGTTTTTATACAATTTATAGCGTCAAATAATTTATACTTTTATACTCTGGAGCGGCAGGGGCATGTCGCTGCGGCTGGCTAGATGCACAACGGAGACCTACGAGCCCCAGAAACATGGGGCCTCTAGGTGCATGGCGTTATATGGGAGTTTTTATACTCTGCGGCATGCCGCATCGGCGCTGTCAGGTGCTGCCAACTGATAAAAACAAGCTCAGCCCAACACGGTACTGTTTTGCCTCCCCCATTTAACTTTCTGTTGTAGGTGTGGCAGGTGCTTTTGTTTATCTTTTCTAAACATCAGTTTGCAAGTTTTGTGAATTTAAAATGATGAAACCTACTACGATTGAAGGAAATATAGAAATTCCTAAGTTGGTAGCACTGATGCCGTGGTCGCCACACGAACATGCGGCTCCGGCCGTCAAACACAACGGCGCGCTGCAGAGTATAAAAGGAGCCTAAATCCCTCACAAGAGTGCTTGGAGACTAATTCTTTGAAGTATCAAAGAATTAGTCTCCAAGCACTCTACCATACCAGTAGGTATGTCTACCTGTATGTAGGCCTACAGTAAAACAATGTTACAGTACGTACCTACTCCTAATTTGGAGAAAAGTTTTTTTAGTCAGCATGCCCTAACTTTTAAAATCCTGTAATTCAATTACTTTGAATTTACTTTACCATTTTGGCTATTAAAAAATAACAGTATTTTTTTATATTTAGAATGACAAAAAATGTGTTACCTTATTCATGAAACTGTCTTTGCGGAAGAGAACCTTAAGCATGTGGCCAAGAGCACAGTTTGGATCTGCCCGATTTGGATGCCTCTCGTCAAACGGATCTGGATCCATTTTGTTGTAGTTGTCAGTTTCAGCTTCTATCAGTTCTGCAAGCCTGCAAATTAATGAATTTCCATTTTAAGTATTCTTTTCTTATAAGAAGTTAGAGTGCTTTATCATTCATTTCAGTGCTGAAGTATGTCTTTCTTCCTTAATACTGGTACAATATCACAGTGATATAATTAGGCTATCGTAATATCTCACTCGTTCAATTTTTTTACTAGTGAATAATAAGACTAAGGGTAGCAATTAATTAATTAAAAAAAAAGTTTTAAGTTAATATTGAAGTGTATTAGGTTAAATATTAACAATCTGCTATCATTTCCTAAAAACGGATTTAATAGGCCTGGATATAACTAGATAGATTGAAAGATTGAAAACATAGCCTAGTTATGTTCTGTTTAATTTAGGAAAGTTGGGCTAAAAAGATCTAGCCTCACTCTTAATTTAACTAAATAGATTTTTAAATAAATAATCTAACATAAAACCATAAGTCAACATAGAGAAACATACACAAAGTGAAGAAATAACCTACATAGTAGGGCTAGGAATCCATGCTTAACCGGCATTCACAGCCATCTAAGTTAATTAAAATGTGAAAATTTCTGTGTTCACAAAAAGTTATGCAAACTCAGAACAAACTGAAGGCATTGTAATAGCCAACAGGGGTTTCAAGGTATGCACTATGCAGGCTGCAGATACAAATTTAATCTGATAACATTTCAATCACTAATCTTGATTATTTAGGATCTTTTTTAACACGTTCAGTGCAGCAAGCATTCCAACAGGTAACAGCGAACGCAATTGGCATTCAAATATTTGAATGTAACGAATAAAAAAAGAGCAGCGGTGATTGTACTACGCTACCCCGAGATTGGACATAGTTCCCTAAAACACCCATAGGTAGCAGCACTGCCTGGATCAGTAGTCAGTGGCCTTGTAATATGGCTTGAAGAGAGAAAATCTCTGAAACCGGGACAAAAGCATTGTCAGACGGGGTTTTACGGGAAATTTTAATACCAACCTAGGGCCTACACCAAAATAAAACTCACATTCTAAGCTACAGGCTAGTGTAAAGAAAAATAAAAAGAATATTTCCTATATTCTTTTTGTAAAGAAAAAAGAGATTCTTCACTTATATTCAAAATATACTCTTAACTTAACTGATCATTCCATCAATCAAAATCACCTCACACCTTTATGTAATGCAATTTGGCTATTCCATACAGGTGTGAGTATAACAAAAAGTTGCCCCCTGGTGGGGTTTTAATGAATTTAATTTACACTTTTAATTGAACTACTGAGGACATTACAATCACAGAGCTGCGCAGTGGAAATAAAGATGTTAAGTGTGGGCCCTGTAATTAAATATCCCAGAAGTCCGATTTATGGACCGTGAGAGGTCTGATATGTTGTCCTCCTTCACACCTTCTTCAGCTTAATTCTAACACTTCTTAAAACTAATAGATGTGTCTATTTGAACACTCCATGAATTAAAATGTGCTGTTCTGATGAAAGATTGTGATATGAATTGATACTCTGTAAAACTGTAAAATTGCAAACAATAATATTGAAATATTGATTGAAAATATTTGTGAAACTGTTTGTCCAGGAAATATTTATCAAAAGTATGACTTCAAGATGTTTATATATACTGGATTCGGTTAAGCCGATTGCTCATGGATTCACCAATTTAATATTAAATATTATGAACTGAGCTTATAAAAATTGCACTATCAAAATATATTTACAAAATGTGATCATCAACACTCATTGTGAATACTTTGTATACCTCTTTCAGTTAAGCCATTTACCTCTTTACTTTACCAGTTTTAGACTAATGATACTAACAGCTGAAACACAGGATAATGAAAAGATGGTGATTTGTAAAAATACTGTATAATGAATCAGAATTACGAGCTGTGATACAAATATTGAATATAAACAATGTAATAAACTTTATGCACAATTTATTAATATTTGAAAGAGAGAGTGAGATAATTGATTGTAGTTGTTTGGTGGTTTGCCACATTTTAACACTGCAGAGTCTCGGGAAAACCTAGCCTTGACGATTTTATTTATTTAGTTTAGGCCACCAGACTCCCCAAGGATGTTCGTATATATCAAACTGGCCAGTTTACAATTTAATCAAACAGGGACTATTATGTAGTTTGTGATCTACATCACTCCTTGCTGATCAATGCAACGGGGCCAATCGACTACTGAGTCGATTAATTGATAATTTTTATTAAGTATTTAACGTTTATGAATTTAATGGGAGTCTATCCTCATGACCTTTTGTCAACCCTAGCCTTCGACCGAGCACTCTGTTACCCCCATTTACGTTACACAATCAAACTCTCACTATTTAAAAATGTCACACTCTATTCAAAATTATTACCTTATATGAGATACAAAACGTTATAAATAATAATACTGATGATGATATAATTTGACCTTTGCATAGAACACAAAATAATAATATCACAGACAATCATTGTTCTTAAAAATAATAGACCATTTCAATTTAATTTAATAAATAATTTTCATTTGACTAGGTTCACCATTATAACTTAAATTCTTTGTATGACATGATCAAATTTAATAAAACATTTTATCCTGAATCGTGACCATGTGCTCTAAGTAGACCAAATGAAACATGAAAATCTCAGACCAAACAAAACATGATTCATAACTTGTAAAACGAGTGGTACATGTGAGAAAATGTGGCAGATTGGCAAGACTATTTTAATACTAAAACACAAATAACACAAACATTTACTTACGTACACATGTCGACACATACACTTTCATCCCAACGAAGTTTCACGCATACAGAACACTTAAAAACTGACTCGTGGTTTGGTGACTTTTTGTCTGACCGAGCGGAATATCACGACACGGTTTTTTCTGGTGTAGGACTTATTAATTCTTGTTTTTCCGAGCTGGCGTTTAATGATTCAATTGAAAATACCGTCACGACGACCCGCGATTCGCTAGAAACTGACATTTGCTATCGATATGATGCATGTACGAATTTTCATCACGAACGCGAACAATCAATCCGGCATCTCAACTGTCTCGACTTAATACTAATAAAACACACCCCCAAATGCAATTCGGCGAAATTTTGACAATTGCGATCGTTTGATGCACGTACAATTTCCGCCCGAACGCTAATTTCCGAGCTACGAATTAAGATATTAATAAATTCGTCCTACACCAGCGACAAAACGCGACTTCACATGTTGACTACGCGAGTACTGAGCCACGAGTGACGAGACGAGGACGACGAGACGCTTTGCAGACGACGCGGTTCCCAACGGTCTTCGTATCCTTCCGCGTTACGTCATGTTTGACTGACTTGTCCATTGCCTGTCGCGGATTTTAAATCTTTTGATTTAAAAATCGGCACACTAGCAACAATTTTAACGTTCCCCGGCAACGGCTGAGCTCAAACTGAACTAATGTAGCGGGGGTTGCGCAACTACATCAAATGATGTAGGCCGATAGGAGCGCTCGTGGCGCGACTACATCAATTGATGTAGTCAGCACTGAACGTGTTAAATATAATAAAACAACACAAAATAAATGTGAGTAAGCAAGACAGTTTAAACTTCCATAGGTGTCAAAAATCAGCAGGCCACATACCTCGTAAGTAGGGGTACAGGGTCGTACATAGCCGCATGGTGTTCTTCTTCCCATTGCCGCAGAAGGGTTTGGACGTCAGCTGTCTCATTGTTGGTGTCATTTATTGAGGGTGCCATTGCCTGAAATCACACTACAGTCAAACCTGAAATGCTAAGAGTCACAGCACTGAGTATAGTTTATTATCACTAACTCTTAATTAACTCGGACTTATTGGGATTCCATATTAAATGAAAAAGTCTTTCAAGAAAGGAATCACAGTTTGAGGTTCATATAGGGTAGGCCTAAGTATTTTTTGAGTACACCTACCTACCAAAGAATACACCAGATAACAAACCAACTTTGTACGATGTTAGGTTTAGAAATGAATTTTTGTTAGGTTTATTAGAATGCTAAATGATATACAATCAGGCTATTTTAGAAATTTTAATTTTGGAGTAACTTAACGACTGGCAACCACAGGTAAAATAGGCCTTTAAGTTATCTTATCCTCTTCTGCCCACAACGATGCACTCACGCAGTACTAAGCAATTGCTGCTAGATACTTTTATTGGATGGAACAGAATCTACACCTTTCATTGCCTCTCTTAGCACAATGGCCATTCCCGCTCCTGGCAAAAACCTGTTATTACGCAACAGTAGCAAGTGTTTTAAAGAAATTAATGTTTTCATAGCATATCAGCCCAGAGGCACACCAAATTTAATTTCAATTAAATTGACCAACAACAATTACAACTATAGGCCTAAAAAGTAAAAATGGGTAAAAAACGTTATTTTATAGATTTAACTTCAAAAGCTTAGTCCTGCTCCCGCACTTTAACCTTAGAATCATTGAAGGCTGTAGCCTATTTTAGCAGTTAAGGGATTAAAAAATACTCAATTTAATATGCAATAAACTCAATATTTGTTTATTTACATTCATAGGGTAGGAGGCATGCCTACTAATAATACAATAAAGAAGTAAGTTAGGCTGTATTCTTCAAAAGGTAGGCTACAACTATACTTTTTTGTTTTAGTGTAGGCCTATTTATCTGGCAGGGTCCAGTTAAGTTTCAGCTGAACTTATATCACATTTACAGTAGGCCTAAGTTACTGGTAAGTTGTGTTTAAATCGGAGGTGACTTATGACGCTATATATACCAACAGATTTTCTGAGCACAATATAGCCTATTTTGATTTGATTTGACTTGTATAGGCCTACCCCCTTGCATTAACCTTTATTTTTTTTAAGCTATCATAACTTACTCTGATTTGAAGTACCTAAGAAAGGTCAGGTAAGTAAGGCTACTTTGAATCCAAGCTTGGTCCCATATATTTCTATGAGTATGCTAGCTTATCCGTTATCGCAAATGTATAAGTAATCACAGAAAAACAATTTTTATAGCCACAGATTTTAACTCACCTGTTGACTTAAAACTGGCCCACTTCTCAATAATGGTACACGATGACCATTATGATTTTCTGTAAAGAAAGAAGTGTCTAAAGGCTTACTAGACGATAAAATAGTTTATGAGAAATAGGCTATTTGACACAAATGTTAGTTTAGACTTTAAGCAACTTTAAATGTGATAAAACCAACCTTGTGTGCACCTTGTGTATTAAACTAAGTTAATGAGAGCCAGAGTAAGTTAGCTTACTACGAGTTGAGCTTTTAACTTAATAGTCATTGTAACTTTAAGATTCTTAGCCACTTTTTCGCAATGAGAAAAAATTGACACCAGCCCATATGTTATAGCATGAAATGAATTGGAAAAACTTAACATAACTGAAATTGAATGACCTTAAGTAAGTTATCACTGTAAATCTAACCAAGGCTAGGTTGTAGGCCCTAGTTTCTTTTAAATAAGCAACTAACTTAACTTAGCTACAGTGAAAACTCAAATAGAGTAGCCAAGAAATCACCAAAAATCGCCCAATGTCTTAACTTAGCCTTTCTTATTTCAAACAAAAGCTTGCCCCTGGGTGGAGATTAGAAAAATAACTTGTGTAGGCATAGCCTTGACTAACAAAGAATGTTCTTAAGTTGACAGTCTATGGGTACAGTTTCTTAACTGGGCTATGCTAATATTGATTGAAACTAAGTTATCGAATTGAAAATACTGATTAATAATCGATATTTTTATATATATCTATTATAAAATAAAGCTATCATAACCTAACCTAACCAACCAAACTTGCTGATGGTGAAAAAATCGCATGAAGGTTTACTAATCGAATCGATAGTTTCAATCAAATGCAAAACAAGAGCAATTGTTTCAATATGCAAAACAGTGTAAGTTAATCTGCCAATGTGTATTATTGTTAAATGGTGTTTCCGTATGAAATAAATAAATAAATAAATATTAGCGTACCAGCCCAGTTAAGAAACTGTACCCCAGTCTACTAGGCCTAGGTCAATCAAAAGTTACACACTAAGCCTAAACTTAGCCTGCAACACCGTTGATTACCCTTAAATGAATATCATAACCCATTAGATTCATATTAGGCAAATAAACATTAAGATTTTAGGAATAAAAAACCATAGACAACGATGTGCTCACAGGTAACTTACTTTCAAATTAGGCTAAGTTAGACCTTGATATTTAGGTTAGGATTGACCAACATAAGTTAAAGGTAAGAATGAGGAAACAGTGCAGTGTAATAAGATTGCGAAACGTTTTTGCTCGTAAAATATTCCAAACCACTTGTATAATGGACATAAATTATCTTATACTTTCAAAGATTACCCGTAACATTAAACATTAGTCTCCAGCCACACCGCAATCAACATGACAGTAAGCAACTGATGTGATGATTAGAATGTATTATAACTATTTTGGAAGGATTTAAATCACATAACATAAAACTGGACTCACCCATAAATATTAAGTATCTTGGTGTCCTAATCCTATATGTATAGTTAAAATATAACTGCTATTATGAGAAGGTAATTTGTAAAACACCTAATATTATACTTTCACGTTTCACATTCTGTTTCTACTAAAGTGAAGTGAGTGAAGAGTGAAGCAAAAGCAAAGTAAAAGCAAATAAGCAGAGCAGCTGCACTCTCGCTTAATGCTTTTAAATTCTTCTTCTCTTCTAATCTAGTCCTTTCTGTGCTATATTATACAAAGGCGATGAACGTTAAGTCATAGAATAAATATTAAGTAATACTATAAAAAATGAAAATGCAACACGAGTTTGGTTTAAATAATGGTGGAAGGAAAAAATAGGTGTGATATTCCCGTCGTATGCTGACGTCACACAGTTTGCAAATCCCATATTACTATTTTTTTTTTAAATACATGTAAACAGTACACGGTTTAAACGGTAGGCCTACTCACTACTTATATGACAGTTATAATCAGGTGATTTTCTGTTCGCAATCTATATATTAATTTGAAACTGTTTTTCTTTGTCATAGCTATTTTGAGAGAACGGCTGGGTGTAGAAACTCGGTAGAGGTGTCTAAAGAAAGGTCTTGGTCTGTAGATGAGCCATCAAAAGAGAAACATGGAGAATTCCCTTGGGGCTCTGCCCCAGTGGCCTTTAAATTCCCATCCCATGTTATTCTTATGGAGGAAAACAGGGTTTTTGTCACAGCTAATTTGAGAGAACGGCTGGGCGTAGAAACTTGGTAGGGGTCTCTAAAGAAAGGTCTTGGTCTGTAGATGAGCCATCAAAAGAGGAACGAGGTAAATTCCCATGGGGCTCTGCCCCAGAAGCCTTTAAAGTTGCCTCTTCAGATTTGTTTACGTTACGACCATATGCATAATTCTACACTACTTTTTAATGAAACAGCTGTTAATATTTAAATTGTGATTTATTGAATTTGTCAAAATGAAGTATACAGTATTTGCAATGGGTTTTTCTGATTTTAAATTGTATTTTCTTTTGCATAGTGTCATGTTTTGCAATATAATGTTCTATTACCAAATCAGTGGAAAATCCAAATATCACAGTAACTCTTAAAAGTATTTCTTTTGGAGTTAACTTTATATCTATTGTATAAGGTTTCTGCCTTTTTTACCACTTCTTGGAGATTGTACGTAGGTGATATTCGTTGGCATATTGCATCTGTAGACGAAACTTGGGTTAGTGTAATTATTACAATGGAAAAGAGCGAGAAATCCTGGTCAATTTGATATGGGCTAAAAATAAAACTGAATTAACACTGTTCTACATTTCTTGAGCAATCATTGAAATAATCGATTTGCAAACAATGGAAACATAGAAAAAGTCATAGAACACAGCCAAGTAGAAGAAAAAGAAATCATTTTTTTTTTCATTTATAATCGTTGTCATAGACAACCTAATGCGGCTATGAGAGGGAAAAATTTGTAGAAAACACTAAAAAAACAAGATAAGCTTTTTGAAAAAAGATAAGATATTTACAAAAGATTTTGATTATATCTAACTGTTGTGTAGATCGTGAGTATTTCCATAATCTTTGAGTCTCCTGTAATGCTTCGCAATTGCTCGAATTCGAGCAACAGGTACACTAGTCTGAATGATGTCAGCCTCTGACGTGAGTATCACACCTATGTTTATACAACATTATGACTTGGATCTTGGATACAATCCATTGGTGATTTGGCGGGATTTGAACCTGGGACCTCAGGGACCTATGTCCCGAGGTTGAAGTCGGCGGAAGTACCAAACTTTGAAGTACATTATTATATTATATAATTTATTTTACTTACCTATGGTGAGTTCAGTTCTATTTATAAAAATGATTCACCTGGCAATTGATGTATTTTCTTCAAACTGTTTGAATTGTAGGTACATACAAGGAGCGGCAAAATGATCTGGTGGTTTTGGTGGGAATTTGCTTGCGGGGGGGGGGGGGGTCGTTCCAGAGTTTACGTGTGGACATTTTTAGTACATTTTTGTAAATGCGGATCGTGGTTCACTATTTAAATATCATTAATTTTGATTAGTAATTAGGCTTGCTGCTACAGAGAAGGTAATGAGATGTAATTTTAATTATATAATTATATTGTTAATAAGGTATAGTACAAAGTAAACGAATTGCCGAATTTGATTAATATAATGTATCCATAAACGAGCAATAAACTACAACGATTTATTTATTTTCTATACAAAAATCGGGAAGTACGGTAATTTAAGTTTTTTTATCTTTCTCCCTAACCATTAGCATAGATAAAACATACTCCCTTTAGGCATACAACAACACTTGAATGTACTAAATTATATCCTTTTCAAGGTCTACAAAATGGTTTAGAGAAATTTTATGTTTTAGGGTCAAAAGTGGGAGGAAAACCCAATGTTTAACCCATAAAATCCCCAAAAACCCCCTGTGCCCAATGCCCATAGTTTGATCATGCAGGTTTGCAAACTCTTTAGAATAAACGCTCAAGTTATCATGCTAACGGACACATACATCAAATACATTGTGTAAAGTATAGGTATTATGAATTGGAACGGAGGGTGTTTTCTGCCTCTGGGTACTTCAAAACAAAAAGTAAATCAGTCCCGAGTACAGGCGGTATACTATGAGACCTTCAATAAGCTTGCATGCATTTATGTGAATTTTGATACAAACCTGACTCAATAGTTATTATGCATTTTGGCAGGAACTATTCAGGGAACTTTGTGAGTCTTCTTCTAGGATCTATAACGTAATAATTTATTGTTTTTTTTTCTCCTTACATTAAACATACTTATCTAAGATCTAGAGTTATTTGCCTTGGTGGTCAACATGAAAAAAGCTATTTGATACTTTTCATCCGTTTTATTTATAAATCCCAGACCAAATCTTGTGGCGTTTTCCAGGAGATTTTAGTTCACGACTACTACAAAGAGAGTTTTCACTTGAACATTGTCTTTTCAGTGGCACACCAGTCAACTGCAAAAACAAATGTTTTGTTAGAATACTGATCTGCATACAGGCATAGACAAAAAGAATAAAATAATTTAATTCTTTAATTTATTTAATTTCTTTATTTTATTTCATTCTTTTTGTCTATGTTACGGGGTGTTTTTTTTTTTAACTCAACCCAAAATTACAAGCACTGTGAGACACTTTTTACGAAAAAACATGCTCATATGTTGGTATCCCTGTTTTCATTGCTGATAGGAATTGCTAATTAGTTATCAATGATGTTTAGTGTTGTTGGGAATTTACTGTAAATAAGTCATGGTGTTTTCACTAGCTCAACGAATATGTATTGTAGAAGAATACATTAAAAGTAAAGCATTGAATTTATGCCAAGTAAAGGGTGAAATTAAGTTTTCAGGTATGATTTCAGTACATAATAAATCAACTACTTACAGAGTTGTTAAAATGTTTGAGGAATACGGATCAGTAGAAGAAAAAAAGCTTATTTTGTATTTTACTCAAAATTCTAAAGTCATCATTGTCAATGCTCTACCGTTCTACTGTTTCATTGACACATATAATGTAAATAATGTTAATCTTAATGTTAGTTTTATAACTTGAATTTTAAAATTTATAAAACATCCTCAAAAAGTAAAATACCGGTACTCCAAACATTAAATTTTTCTATCCCTCCCCTCATCTACTTAAATTATAAGTTACTGTACTGTAATTTGTTGTTAACATAAGTACCATTTGTTGCTGCTCGTAAGTCATTGTATAAACTTGAGTCTCGTATCCTGGTCTATAAGGATGATCTCCTCCACTGGTAGCTTTCGAACTTGGCTCTGTTTCTAGACTTGTATGATTACTGGAATCAGAAATATTCAATTGCTTTATAGAACACAGATCCTTTAATCTGAAATGCTAAAAAACATATTTTGACTGCAAATACCAATTAAGGTAACAGTTTGGAACGATTCGCATCATAACCAAACTGTCTGTCATAATCAGTGGCCATGTCTAAAAAAAACACCCACCAAATTACTTTGTTTTTCCATGACCGCAACTATAAAAGAACTATTAAAAATTATATTTAAATTTGTACAGAGTTACCTGCGTATAATTCAATACTTACGAACTTACTCCATCCAGGTCAAGAGATATAGAGGGAGTTTCTTCAATTGGATAATAAAACACCTCTGAAACCAACAAAATCACCAAAAAGTAAATAATAAAACTAAAATTTTGCAACTTTTTTATGTGAAAAACATAAGACATTGTATCAGTCCTTATACTTGACCTACTTTATAGAAGAAATATAATCAATTCGGTAACATAAACAAAACCTTATAAATTTAGATGTTTCCTCTTGGTCAACTATAAAAGTTATCTTTATTTTAGTCCACTTATGACTTATTTGATTTTAAGAATAAAAAAAATTATTTTCCTACCCTTTATTGGTTTGGTTACTCATCTCACAAAACTACTTTAGCAGAAAATACAAATTTGTAATAAAAACTGTCACAAATTTACTAATTCTTTTTCCTTCAGATATAATAATTTCTCCTACTGAAAGCTTGTGATGTACGAGTTAATGTTAAAGGCTTACCTGTAGAACTGCTGTCAGAGTCATACTCTTTCCCACATCCACAGCACCTAAGTAAAATATATAATGTTTACAGAGAGTAACTTGACCCAAGAAAATTAAAGTTGTAATGTTCATACCACAATCACACACAATCCGCGAGTTCAATATTTTGAAAGTACTATTGTGGATAGAGTTGGAGTTGAACTGTACAGCAATGCTTCAATACAGGGTGATTGATATAAGTGTGCCAGCCGTTTTATTCAAAAACCATAAGAGATATCAAAAAAAGTTAAATGGTAAGTGCCTTGGATTTTTTATTTAAAAAATTATAGTCAAGTCAAAAAAAATATTTTAGCCGCCATTTTTCCAATATGGCCGCCAACTTTGATTTTTCTTATGGAACACCCTGTATTTCATGATATATTCTGGTAGAAAATGTAATTTTAAGACGATTTTATTCTTGTAATTTGTTTCATAAACCTAACCGTTTCAAAGATAATAATGATTTAAGTTGTGAATTTTTGAATGGTTTTCAAATAAAACACCTGGCATGCTTGCTTAGGCCTTTATCGAAACTCTTTCTCATGCAGAAATTTCAAAACTTTAACCATTATTATCTTTGAAACGGTTAGGTTTATGAAAAAGATTACAAGAATAAAATCGTCTTAAAATTACATTTTCTATCAGAATACATCATAAAATACAGGGTTTTCCATAAGAAAAATCAAAGTTGGCGGCCATATTGGAAAAATGGCGGCTAAAATAATTTTTTTGACTTGACTACAATTGTTTAAATAAAAAATCCAAGGCACTTACCATTTAACTTTTTTTGATATCTCTTATAGTTTTCGAATAAAACGGCTGGCACACTTATATCAATCACCCTGTATACATTGTTTTTTATTTTAACTTTGTACTACTTGGTAATTGGGCATTTCCATGTTTTATGTGTAAACATTTGAAAAACCTCTGGATAAAACCCAATTCTATCACCCGGTATTGCTGGTTTGCGAACTCAATCACATTTATCCAGCTCTACAAATTCATGCCAAATTTAATCAAATTCGGACAAAAATTACTCAAATTAAGTTATTGTGTTCACAGCAAAGAAGAAATAGGGAAGAAGAAAAGGAAAGAGAGAGAAGTAAATAGTAATGAAACAAACTATTTATTCTACAAAAGCCCTTTACCAAGCAGAGGACATTGTCTCTAGCTGATCCATGATAATTTATATTGGGTTTACATGAGTTTTTACTTCTTCATATCCATCATATAAGTAAAACTTAAAAATGAATAAGTAACCTAGTGTAAAAAAAATACATGACTCACCCACAAAAGCACCGCCCTGATCTCCACATTAGAAAAATACAAAGGATCAGAATAAAAATAACCCAGGTTACGACAATAAGTGGAAAGTAGGGAAACCGGAAAATTCTCCCCGTGTCGGTCTGATTCTTTTTTGTTTCTTGGATATGTTTGTCGAGATCTCTTTGTCTGTAGAAAATGAAGTTTGCTGTCGAATTCTTTGGTACAAAATCTGAAAAAGTAAAATCGCTGAAATATAAATATGCAGGAGAGAAGAAATATTCAGCGGATTATATTAAGGAAGTAAATTTTGGTGTTAATTAGAAACACATTTTGTCTTAATAAACAGTGAAGATATTCCCTCCAATTTATAAATTATTTTATCAGTACGGTATCCATTGATATATAAACTCCCAATGAACCTTCATGTAATTTGGTGATAGTTTTAAAAATAGTAACCTGTAAGGAAATGTAGGCACTAAAGCATATTTAATATTTATAAGCATTGGCGCACAAACAGTTTACCTCTGAAACATTTGTTGATCTCAATATTCTGATTAATTATGATTTAAAACTTCATTAAAATATATTCACTTACCCTTTTGCCTCATGGTCTCGACAATTCTCAAAACCCCTCCGAATGCCGGATAACACTTATCATCCTTCAAATGGGGTAAAACCTGTATTTGAAGTAAACTTTTTGTTATTATCTAACTTTTCAGTACCTACAATAGTCGATAAAAAGACCTAGCTTAACATGTACGATGAAGGATAATTTAGCATATGTTACAGCTTCGATCTGATAATGTTTGATATCCCTGAATTTAGTGTTCTTTTAAGAGATGAAAGTGGCACAGCTTTGACCTGACTTGAAAGAAGTGTAGTGTAATTGTTACTTTTATCTGCCCATGTCGAAAAAGCAACACATCATTAGATATTTCACTTATTACTGTAATTGTTGTACCATAGCTTTATCACTGTAGCTCCTTGTACGGAGAATAGCACCCTTTTTTGTTTGATTTCGATGACAGCAAAAAGTGCCTTGGCTTATGCCTTCATGTCTAAAGATGCCATGACTTTTTTCTACTCGTCAATGCAGAAAAGTACCTTAGCTTTTATATCCATCTTTTAGAAAGGTAGCTAATTTTTTAGCTACCGCACATATTACTTTAATAGTTGTATATTTCTCTAGCTTGATCGACCTAGTAAGAAAGTGTTGTGCCTTTATAGTGTAGTGTAATAATTCAAATGAATATTTATACTAATTTTCTAGCCATGTACCTAATAGGTAAAAAAAAAACTCACCGCTTGTGTCAACCAATCATAAAACTCCTTATTAAACTTAAAAACTTGTATTTTATGTCCCGTTGTCAGTGTAAGGCACTTCATCATCACTTTGTAGTATTGAGGTAAAACGTTTTCTGCCTCTGGGCTGTCGATCTTGTAAGTCGTTGGACTTTTAAGTGGAACTGTCAATTCTTGTGGATCTTTGTTGTCATCCAGTTTTGGAGTACAAATATCCATTTGTGAAAAGCTACCATCTAGTAATACAAAAGTTTCTAATGAATAACAACACTTGTTAGTAACACACTACATCAAAGTTTACCTAAATTAGTAATTTTGGTTTAATGTGGCCTAAATCATAAATAGATCAAACAGTTTAAAAAAACTGTTTTGATATCGCAAGATAGATAAATCTGAAAACGAAGGCATGGTAAGATAACATTTTTTAAAGATTTTGATTGTGTTATTAAGTTAAGTGGCACGGGTCTGCAGATATCTCCTATCCTATCACATTTGCTCTCATTTATAAACCGCTGAAGTTTTTCAGTTCACAATCTTCATTCATACAACAAAACTATGGATCCAATTAGTTTTAAAGATTTTGTCAGTTTTTACTCAAGATCGTGTTCATATATTTGAAGTTTTTTGAATAGAGTTTTATAAAACATGTTAGCCTAATTTGACATGATGATAATTGATACCTTATCAAATGTACCGCTATTATTTTTTTTGCTTGCTTTCAGAAACATGAAGCTTAAAACACTTACGCTGATAATCAGCACAACTAAATAAACAAAACTAAATTATGACAGAGACTTTGTCTGAAATTTGTTTTAATAGTAAGGAATGGCTTTAACAGCTACTGATCCTTTAAGTTTCTTTCCCAGCACCTCAACCAGGAAATGATATTTTACATCCAGGGTTTGAACTCTGTCACAGTGACCAGTACATTGTACTACTCATGCTCATAAGGTGTGCCTGTGGTGGAATGGCAAATATAGGGGACAATCCTAAAATAAATAGGATGGCAGAAGTTTACATTATATTACCAACTATTACCACCAATTGAGATGGGAACGCCACCGAGGTGGGTGTTTGTTTAAACCCAAATGAGTAAATGATGAGTGTGTAATGAAATGTGATGATCCATGCAGCTTTGTTACTGACTAAGCTAAGATGATCAGATGTTTCTTTTTTCTTTAGGCAGGATCATTTATTTAAAGCCCAATGATCGGGGGCAGCTGGGTCCAGTTTCGAACCTTCAGCTACCAACTTTTCTCAGGATCGAACCAGCAAGCTTTTAATTGTTAGCCAAGCATTATAACCACTCATCTACCCAGTTTACTTGGTAAAAGGATTTTAGATGGAAAAGGAGTTTTCATAGGTATAATACTATTGTGCTTATAGCTATAACCTATACCATTTTGTACTGTTTTAAATGAACGAAAAGGTGATTTGGTAATGATTTGTGAGTTAAAATTAAAAGAGTTTAAACTATAATCTCGAGAAGATGCAATTTATTGTATAGTAAATCCCCATACCATACCCAAGTTTAAGATAACTGACACCTCCGAATTTCTCACTATGTCTACATGTCTAGCAAACCTAATTTGTTTTGTCTGGTTACCCCGTGATGTTTTAATTTGTTTTTCATTTTTCAATAAATATCATTATTTAAATTTATAGTTCAATGAGCAATTATTTATTTTATTACTATTATAATTTATTATTTTTTTAGCGATTATTTAAATTTATAATTGGTAACGTTGTATCTGAACCTATACACTTTGCTCAAAATTAGTTTCTTGCCGTTTTAGCATTTTTCAACCGTGTTTCACCATTGTTTCAACCGTGGTGCGAACGACCACACCTGATAGAAATCTACTGTACTATGAATAAACGGCAAAGTAGTTTTAATTACCACCTACTTTTATCTAGTTTCAAAATCGCATCACAAGCCCTCCTTTTCTCCTCTAATGTCCCTGTCAATACCAACGGAATTATGTGCTTCACTGTAGACCTCGCTGGCCGGCCGACATCACACTTCCTTTTTTTCGTATGAACATTTTCAAAACCGAGATGAGCACCTTTTTTTATTTCACTCTCTAGATTCTGGACCTGTTCCATATCACCGTATCTTATACTACCTGCGTAATACAACTGTTTAAGGTCCTCTTTGAAACATTCTAGCTTATCGCTGAGTTGTTTCAACAAATATTCTTTTGTTGGTCCAGAATACGCATCCAGAGTTCTGAAACATTTTTCGTAAGTATGGAGGATGTCACTCACATTGTGGTTATGATCTGGGAACCGTTCGTTGCTTATTTCACAAACTTCCTGTACGTTTAGGGGAAGTTCTTTAGAAACAATGAAGTTTATATTCAACAACACTACCAAGCACTTAGCAATTACCGTATTCTTGGTAAAGACCGTCATTTTCCCAACATGTAATTTGACAAATTAGTTTGAAATGGTGTAAACAATAAGTCAATAAGAGGTTAAATTTAAAATGTAAATATTTTCTCAAATCACCTGTAAAAGTGAAGTAATTGGACAAAACAATGGCCATTAGTTTTGTTTTGAGCAATACATAGTCAATGGCAATACCCAATACCTTGACTTTGGATAGACTGATAGACATTATCTTATCTCCCTGTATCTGGATCAGCTGTAGTAATTTGTTGTTGTTTTTTTTACTGAAATACAAACTTTGAATAAGCCTATTGAAAAGTGTGCACCAATTTGAAAATTTATACTTTTTTACTGAATCGAGATTAAGGGAATTTTGCATTGTAAAATTATTATTTTTGTTTTATTGTTTGCTTAGAACTTTAACGTTTAATTTTCTTCTAAAGAGACGTTCGGAGTATAAATAGAGAGAATTAGAAAAATAGTGATGGATAGGTAGTAAATGATTGGTGATATGAAAGCCAGATTTTGGTTTGTTTAAAGTGATAATAGAAGTGATTCAATATAACCTCCACTCTTCATCACCCACTTAATCTTTGACCGATTACTCGGTTCAAGTCTTTTTTGAGAGATCATTTACAACGTCCCACCATTCATTGTTAAAACTCTGTGTGTGCCTGTTATTACGTCTACGTTTAGTTATAAGTTCTTTTTTTTTAAGTGTAATCTTACGGCAACCTATTTCGTGACATAGACTTACTACATCATGACTGAAAACTTAACTGTAAGTGTTGTAAATTTGTAAAGAAATCATTTATTTTTTTATGATTAAATAAACAGTTTCAACCCAAATGTCATTGACTCGTTGTTGTAGTTTTTATTTTTTTTCTTCTGGGTGTTCTCAGTTCAATCTCCTTTCATACAGAAGTTATTCGATTGTAATATTTAAATTAAAGGTCCTCAGGAATTTTATGCTACCGGTAATGGAAATTAGTTACAATTAACTATGTTTTTGATTCTGAGCAAAACATCTTGAGCAAGGGAAACATTTATAGTTTTAACAGTCAGCGTGGAGTGGCTGACATATTATTCTGTACAGATGTATCAAATATAAGATTTTCTTACAACAGAGTTTCCTGAAATCACTAAGTTCGTAGACAGTGAAACTGTGTGTATATGATGAGTTCCTCATACAGTATGATGTAAACAGGACAGAAAACTCTATAATTGCCACTTCACTAGGCTATAATGATGCTTCTTATCTTAACACTGATTGAGACTGATGAAAACAATTTCATTGTTGCATTTTATAAAGGATTAAAGAAAATGAGCGATGAGATGATAACACTATCACAAAATCCTTCACTTCTGGTTCATAAATATCACCTTACCTACAATCTGAGTCTTACACCTGGTGTTAGTGAATAGTAATCTAGTTATTTGAAAAAGAGTAAAAAGTTATGTTTAAGTTTGTAGAAATCATAATTGTGTAGTTTAATATTTGTCATTATCTGTTAAGTGTGTTTTTAGTGATGTTTACAAATATGTTCCAATAGTTTATAACTGACTAGGTGAGTATAGGCTTCAAACTACTCAAAAGACGCATGTTCACAATCCAAAAATTACTAAATTGTTCAAAGGAGTTAAATTTTAGTGAGCCTGTGTTTTTTTCAGGATTCAATAAATAAAACCAACATGTCAGAATCCGACAAGACTGATCTTAAGATAATTGGTTTGTACGAAGAAAATGGAAACTTGCCAGAGGAGCAGAAAATTCACTTGAAGAGAGACATCGGGCTTATTAGCGCAATCAACTTGATCTTGAATCTCATTATTGGTGAGTATGCAAGCTGAAAAAATAAGTAAATAGATAAGTAGATAGGTATTGGTTTGCATTTGATCAAAGCAAATTTAGTTTTAATCATATTTAAACCTCTACATTTGAGACTAAAATCGTCAAAAGTGGTTGAAAAATGTTGAGGGGCTATTTGACTTTTGGATATTGAAGTAGGCTACTGTACACATCCCATCGTTAAATGAGCTTCACATATTGTGTTACTTACGGTCTAAAATTCAATTTTCTTAATTAGTTTTTGATAGTTGATATGTGACATATAAAGGATGCTATAGGCAACAATAAGTTGTCTCTTTATTTGGCTTGGTTAAAAAGATTATGTGATTGGCAGAAATCAATTATTTACATCAGGTCACCTTGTTATGGATCAATTCAACAAAAATCTTTTTTATTCAAAAACTGGTTAGAGCTTTATCATAAGGAGGGAATGTCCTAGTTATATCAATATTCAGAGGTTTTAATTATTTATTTACTTATACAATAACACCAAGAAATTGATTACAGTAAGATAAGCTCAGTATTTATAAAAATAAAAAGAAGGGTGTTTGTAGAAGCAGTAATGTGTTCTTGATGTTCTACCTCTGCTAGATTCTGAACTCTTCCTCCACTTTGTTGTGTGCACAAATTTAACCAATGCATTATTACAGTTTAAAGTAATTTAATGTTTTTGTTGAATGTTCTGCAATTACTTCAGGATGCATAGTTAAATCTAAAAATCATTAAGTACACATAAAGCCATTTTGTTGCAAAAAATAACCAAGACACATTGTCCAGGGTCCGGCATTTTCCTAACTCCTGGAACAGTTCTTTCCGAGTCAGGATCCATTGGAATGTCGTTACTAGTTTGGTTCCTAAGTGGAATCATCTCATTGATGGGTAAGTTGAAGAATGGATTTTGGCTTAGTAACATGTTATTGTAGTGGTTATATATAGAAGGGGATAAGAGCAACAAAACTAAAAACATATGGCAAAATTTTGGAAACTTATAATTTTTTGTCATACTGCAGTAAAACAGCTGTTTTAATACCTACATGCATTGCAAAAAGTTACTAAAGTGAATCTTTTCTCCCTAGAATTAAAAAATCTGCTGTTATAAACTTGGACTGATAATAATTGCATGTATCGAACATATGTATTTATTGTTTTACTTGGTTATCTAGCTTATTGTTGCATTGCATTCTTGTCAATAGTTTGACATATCGATAGTATATAATGTACTCTATCTCAATGATAATAGACAAAATTATTGAATCTCTTACTAAACAACTGCTTATGTTTGCATTAGCAAAATTGAAAACAAGTTAAATGTAGTTCTGAAATGTTATCTTTGTATGAGAAGTATTTTCATTTTGTAACTTATATGACAAAAAATATAGCTTATTAGATGGGCAAAATTTTATTTTCAACCCACTCTCATTTTCCGACCACGGCTTAGCCTCAGTTGTTAAACTTGAGCTCGGGTTGAAAAGAGTTACGTTACGACCTAGTGATGAAATCTATGGCTAGTGATGTATAATGCTAAAAAATTTGTTACATCTCCATATGGAGACGATTTTTCAAGAATACTCTAAATACAAAAAAAAAAAAAAAAATTGTACAATTCATACAGAATTATTCAGTTTTATATTACTTCTTACAATGAGGAAAAATTTAAAATAGACATTACCAAAACAAGAAGGAAAAACATAGAAATATATTCTGTTTGATACCCAATCAAACACATTATCTTCCTTTGAACGCTTGGAAACGTTTCCGTTGCAGGTGCCTTGGCGTTTGCGGAGCTGAGTACAGTGGTGCCTAAGTCTGGCGGGAGTTACGCTTACTTTCAAACAGCATTTAAAGATCTTCATCCCTTCCTGGGACCTCTTCCGGGATTTCTGTTTATCTGGATAATGATGATCATCGTAGTTCCGGCAGATCTTGCCGTAGTTGCGCTACTCTTCGCTAACTACGTTTATGAGCCTGTAAGACCTTCACTCTCACCGGAGTTCCATGCAAATAACGAAGTTTTAGTAAAAAACACCATAGCAGCAGCTACTTTAGGTAAAGTAAAAAAAAAACTACTCTTTAATTAAAGTGTTAAACGATTTTTGCATGCATAACAAAGTTCAATTTTTAACTGCTTTTTCCAAAGAAGATAGCATTAATTCAATTTCACTCTAAACAAAATGACACCACAACAATTTTGTACCTGTACTTATAAAATCACCATAAATGTTATTACAAGTAAAAACGTCATTGGTTGCAATTTACGCTCTTACTTTCTTTTGATTAGACAAGGTTTAAGACATATTTCGTGTTATTCTTGTTACAAAATTAATTACAACCTTACATTACATGTAAGATTTGACCCTTATAACTTCAGTTAGTTTTCAGGACAGGGACACATGAGAAAATGTAACTTTTCCAATAATCTAAATTAATTTCCAAAACCAAAGAAAGATAAAGAGATAACATAATATAATTAATCACAAAGTATATATTGACAAATAAAATGTGTTTCAATGAGAATATTCTAGTAACTCATTTTACAGTGCTTGATTTTGACTTATATCACTAATTTCTTTTACAGTTGCAGTTGGCATAATAAACTATGTAAGTGTCAAGCTCTACTTGAACACACAGAATCTTATCAGTTTCTTGAAGCTATCTGGATGTGCATTTGTCATTGTTGGTGGAATATATATGTTAATCTCAGGTAAATATAAAATTATAAAGTACAGGGTGTTTTTAAAAGAATAACGGGATTTCAAACGGTCGTTGCTCGGGGACTATTCAAGATAATTAAACGATTTAAACGTCAAATTGAAGGGAAAAAAATAAAGTTTTTTTTTCTCATTCTTTCATACAGTTCGGAATAATTGATTAAAATTCAAATTTTAATCAATCTTATATGAGCGTCAGGGGTGCCCATCCCCCCCAAAGCTCACGTCGCAGAATCCCCCCCAAATTCGTTGTTTAACCCATGCCGGAAGGTCTAGGGGCTAACCCATAGTTATGTTTATAATGCGGGGAGGGAAGGGGTGCCCCCGACACTTCTTTAAATTTATGGGAATTTAAGCGTTTGAATCAAACTTTTAACCCAATTTAAATGGACAATTTTGCTTTAAAACTCTAGAAGCAAACTATTTGTTAGTTTAGTTTTAATTTAAATGAGTTGAATTTTTAACATGCACACAATTTGAATAAAAATTGGCCATGTAGTTTTTTTATCCG